CATATGGATTCAAAAACGGGGGGTTAAAATATAGCATTCAAACTGGTATATCGAAATCTATAGGGACACTAAAAATGTCGATGCTGTGAGCAACATGATATCTGAAAATGCCAGTTTTACATTATAAGACACTGCTAAGACACTAAATATTTCATTATCACAAAAGTTTATAGAGTTCTGACAAAGAAAATGAATCTATCAATATCTATATAAGATATGTGGCTTATTTCCTTACAAAAGCCCAAGAGAAAACGTTAAATGTGCCAATGGTCTATTAAAAAAACAAATATTTTTACAAAAAAGAAGATATGATAAACTTGCTTGATGGATGACGAAACAAGGGTGCAATTTTTATAGCCAACAAAATAAAATGCCAATACTAAATTGTGGAATCAGATGGAAAGCTGTCGTTCTATATTGCAAAAAGAAGCAAGGTCTCCGAACATGTTTTAGTGGTTTTCTTTTTTTAAGAGGTCCAGTAAAATATGTACATACACCCAAAGGAAGGACCTTCAATGGTCACTTTTATGTTAAAATGGCACTCAGGAAAGTTAAGCAGATTTTATTCAAAGGAAGTCCAAATATCGGTCCCCAGCTGGGTCATTTTCCTGTACCTGACAACGCTGTTGCAAATAAGCTCAGAGAAATAAATGAAATTTTGAAGAAAGCAAAGTTTGCGTAGCTTTGCTTTATCCTATATTCGCTGGATCTCGGCCATTATGAGGTCTTCTAATTCCAAAAACACATGAAAACAATCAAAGGTAGTTTTTATAATTTATAATTTCAGATATGTCATGGAAAGTGCTATTCATCAGTGTCTATGGGGGCATCTCTAAAAATAAGTATGCTGAGGTTTACTGGTCATGGGTTCAAGGACTTAAGACATGTGTAAAAGTTAACAGGGAATACTTTGGGGATTGAAAAATTAAGAATCAATCTGCTTTATGTACTTATTTTTAGACGACCTTTTGTATTATTTATTGAACGACCCTCGTATAGATAATGCTTTATTTCTTTCAAAATCTTCTTCTCTGCTCCTGGATACTTTGCAGATAAACTAAGTGCATAGTTATGATAAGCAAGGGTGCCGGTTCCAAAATTGTGAATTCATAGCCCCTGGGTCAGGGGTTTGTGTGTTAGGGCTGGGCTCTTTTAATTATATAGTAAAAATGCAATAATTCTTTCAAAATCTTCTTCTTTACTCCTGGGTGTAAAGCAGATAATAAGTGCAGTTTATGGTGATCAAGAATGCCTCTTCCGAAATTGATAGCACCATTTCAAGTGGTTCTTTTTTTTTGGGGGGGGGGGGTTAAGGCATAATTATGATGAGCAAGAATGCCTTTACCAAACTGTGAATTTCATGGCGACTGGGTAAAGGTTTTTGGTGTTAGGCCTGGGCTCTGTTGATTATATAGTAAAAATGCATTAATTCCTTGACAATTTTTATTCTCTGCCCCTAGGTATATAGCAGATAAACTAAGTGCAAGGAATGCCTCTTCCTAAATTTTGATATTTTTGGCCCCGGGTTCAAGGATTCCGGGGGAGGGGCTTTTGAATATATACTGAAAATGCATTATATCTTTGAAAATCTTCTTCTCTAGAGTGGGACTTTTTAAATTTATAGTAAAAATGTATTATTTCTTTGACAATCTTCTGACTATGGATATTTAGCAATCATACTAAGTGCATAATGAGAATGAGCAAGGGTGCCTTTTCCAAAATTGTGAATATATTGGGCCCAGGGTCAGATACTCTGTTGTTTGGGTGGGGCTTTGTTGAATCTATAGTGGAAGTGCATTATTTCTTAGAAAATCTTCTCTGCTCCTGGGCATCTTGGATGCAAACAGAGTATATAAAGTTGTAATAAGCAAGGGTATTTAAAGCAGATTTATGAAATTCTACATCATTCCAATCGATTCATTAATTTGTATTCTACTGAAAGAAGTCATTCCCCTTTGCTATTTCTTAGACATTTTGCAATAAAATATTTTTTTTTTTTACAATTATTGGTAACATAAAATAAGATATTCCACGAGCTAAAGTCAATGGAGTAGTGTTTTTTAAGTCAAAATGTATGTAATTACGTTTAAGTCCCCGTTTCACGTAAAACACAATATTGATTTTTTTCTTAAAACATTTTTAAAACATTTTCTTAAAACATTTTTTATCCACCAAACTGTCAAAGACTGGAAACACTAAAATTGTCAGCGCTTACTTTGTCTCGATAGTAGCAGTGGTATGTACGACCATCGTGTGTATACAAAAAAATAATCTGCACGACAATCCTGGAGATAGATAATGTCTTATTACTTGCACTCTTGCCCACAGTAAGCATTTTGCTTCTTCATTTTTCTGTAAGTGCACATTCCCAATCTGATTTTCTGATTTAGAAATCTTTCCAAAATTTTATGAATTTCATATCACAATTTTTTCCTGTGCTTATATATATATATATATATATATATATATATATATATATATATATATATATATATATATATATATATATATATATATATATATATATATAATCTTATATTTTCTGTAGGCGAAGATTCGATAAAAGACACAGGTATCTTCATCAATGCTAAAAATTTTCGAAGAAAACTCAATCTTTAGCTCAATCGGAGGCCCAAATTGTCTCAAAGTATACTAGTAATGCATTTTTTAACCCAGAGCAGTACAAATCGACAAAGCAGGAGATAATTTTTTAGCCTATACATTGTATTTTTTTAAAGATTAGGTTCTTAGAAAAGGGCCGTTCGCGCTCTCCTCCTAAGGGGAAATCCTGAATCTTTCCCGGTTATATAACAATGTATGCTGTGTCTCAAACAAAGACGGTTTACATTCATAACGGAAGCTTTATCGTCGAAGGGAAGACAAACACAAACTTTTTTTCATCCAAAATTCAAATATCTTTCTTAAAATAGATGCCTCTCTCACTAAAGAAGCATTATTTCTTTAATCAAACAACTTAATGTTTGGCTAAGCCACATAATTTTGTGAAAGTTTTCGCACAGCAAAGTTTCTGGAGACATTTCCAGAGTGTATTCTTAAATGTTACACAATTAAAATTTCTTAATTGCATTTCCAGTCACGCCGTATGCACCATAATTATCGTCTGGTGAAGAAGGAGGAAGTTTATTCTATTTCTTCAGCCATATCAAAAGTTTTACTGTAAGTACTTTAATTATGATGTAAATATTAAAAACTATATAGTGCTTTAAAAAAGATTATTGGATAATAAGGTAATATATTTATATATTAGATTTATATTAACTTTCTTCTGCGTGAATCCTGCTTTATTTCATTCTGTATTGATTCAAAATCTTTGGAGCGTTGAATCTATATCAAAATATAATTTTATGTAATTTTTTTTCTGCAATAGCTGCGACGTTAATTCCCGTACTAATAAGCAAAGAAAGACATTTTATTGTTTATATTCATATCTGTATAAATAATCATTTAAAGTAGGATTATAAAGATTAATTATTGTATTATTCATATGAACGCCATAGTATGTTCCATTGATGGAACAGCCACTGGTCAAGAAATCTGTACAGGTGATATGCCTAGTGTTGTTCATGAACTGATAAACGGCAATGGTTTTCTTTAGAAATAAAGTAGAAAATATTCAGTGGATGTAAATATTCGAAATATAAATTTACAAATCGGGGGCACATAAAAATTAAATGGAAATATGAAAAGGAAGAAGAGTGTGTAACAAATTTATTGATGTATACATATTCCATGTTTTCTTATACATGAGATCAATAATCATGCGAAGTTTAAGCGAGGTGAGGCAGACGACGAGAAAAGAGTTGCAAGCCTTCTCTTTTCTTTATGCAGGCGCGGATCCAGGAATTTTTTCCAGGGAGAGGGGAGGGGAGGGGGGAGGGGGGTCCCCCTCAGTTAAAAAAAACTTTCCAACCCAAAAATTTCTTGACAAAAAAAAAAAAAAACTAAATTCCTTTCCCTTTTCAGAAATTTTTTCTTGACAAGCAAAAAAAAAAAAAAAACAAAAAAACAAAACAAAACAAAACAAAAAAAACCCCGTAAAATCCATTTCCAACACGTGAACAACACCTACTTCGTGGTGGTGATAGTAGGGTCCACGTTTTCTAGGTGGGGGGAGGGGGTTCCAAAGTCATTTTTTATTTCCTTCATTATATACTTTTAGTAACTCTGCAAATTCCAGAGGGGGTCCGGACCCCCCGACCCCCCTCTAGATCCGGGCATGTTATGTATCAGTCGAAAAGATATATTTTTAAAAACAGCTTATAGAGACAAAAGGGTTACATTATCGATAACATATAGTGCATATTAGAATACAAAAATTGGGAAAAAGTGACTCGACCCCCGAGTTAAAAAGAAAAAAAAATTGGAAAAGGGGAGGGGGATACCCCAAGTGCCTGTGATCTTGCCTACAAATTTCTGTCACAGTGAAACTGCTTTCGGAACTTCTAACTCGATAGCCTTGAAAAAGATAAAATAACTGAAACACTATACATTTTTTGATTGGGTTCGAGGGCAACATGCGTTTTGTCGGACCCAAGAACCAAACTATTTTCCTGAGGCCGTTAGGCAGAAGGCAAACAGTTTGGTTCGAGGGGTCGACAAAACGCATTTTGCCCGAGAACACAGTCAATAAATGTTTTATTATACCTTTTATTTATTTATTTTAGTATTATATTTTTGACATACATTTATGTCTAACACCAGTGACCAAAGAATGCAAATGAGATTTAGTTGACCCCGCCCATTGTGTGACGTAAGCGGTCCAACATCTCATCGACAGGTCCAATATCTCACTCCGCGGTCAAGCATCGATTTTTTATGCCCGCTCAGTAAAACATTGGAAATGTTAGACTTTTATTAGTATTGATTTATATAGGAAAAAATTTTTAAAGGTATAAAAAATGGATGTTTTTCATTCAACAGATGTTCATTAGATCTTCCTTCGGTGTGAAGAATGTTTTGAATAATATAATTAGCCTAAAATGGCGCTTAGCTTTTTCACCCGAAATTCCTTTGAAGGTATGTAAACTGAAACAGACGATACAACCTCTTTTGACTTAACATACATAAATACATGTAACTAGTAAAATCTTAGTAGCGACGATATTATTCTTTCATTATTAACAGAGATTTTCTGAACTGGACTTCTGAACATCCATGTAAATATTCAAATGTTGGAGCGAGGCGAACTTACAAGACCAAACAACTTCTAGGTCATTGCGCGTCTCAACACAGTAATACGGCGGGCCGTTCCTGTAATAAATGCAGTTCTATTCGGAATATTCGTTCAAATGTAAATATAAGAAATAAACAACAATGTTAAAAAGTTCACTGGGAAATGAACTTGGTTGGTACGTGATCAAATCTACTAAGAAGCCCTTCGGGCTTCACAGGATTTGATCAAGTGACCAACCGAGTTCATTTTCAAGTGAACTTTTTAACATTGTTGTTTATTTCTTAAATGTTTTAGCACGGATATTTTGCTGGCAAACAGGATGACAAAGCTAGCAATAAAAAATGCTTGAAACGCTGGAAGGTACACAGAGGTAACCAGCAATGGCATGATGTAAAATTAATCAATTGAAATTTTGATCTCAGATACTGTTAGCAGTGATTTAACCACTATTGTCAAATTGGGAGACAAGGCATTGGAAGTTATAATACACCACAAAATGGACTGCTCAATATATCAATCTTTCTTTAAATCAACTGAATATTTTCTCCTTTACTTCTTATGAAATCCCATTGCCGTTATCAATCCATAAACATTAAAATAGTATATGTAGACGTTAGAATCGTTTTATAAAGCCATCGATTTGAAAGATTTCTGAAGAATTGGCACTTCCATCAATGAAATGTAAAGACCAATAATACAATACTTAACGCACTTCCACCTACTTTATACAAGTATTGCTGGAGATATAAATACAAACAATAAAATATTTTCCTTTGTTTGTTAATGCAGAGATAACGGTTGGAAACATTGCCAAATATATATATATATATATATATATATATATATATATATATATATATATATATATATATATATATATATATATATATATATATAACCTTGTTACGCGAGTTACGTATTTTTTTCCTGCAATGTTGCAACCATTATCCCTGCATTGACAAACAGAAAACATAATTCGACTTCACTCACGGAGTATATTAATATAAAATCATGCAACGCGGTTTTCATATGTAAAGGAATGTCTTCCTCAAAAACTATACACATCCAATAAATCTTTCATGCAAATATGACATACGGAATACATGAAATTTGTAAAAATCTGCTTTACTGCATGATACTACATCTTGCATTTACAAGTGCATGAATTATTTTGATTTAAAGATCGGTTTAATTTTAATATTTAACCTTAATTTCTTTCACTTTGCGTGAAATAATGAATATCTTTACATTTCTTTTTAAAATATTTTATAAAGAGAATATTACGTTGTTATAAATTCCATATCATACAGATTACTAATATTGAATAACTTACCGTATAAGTATATCGACTACCGTTCATTAAATCTAGAGTATCTCAACAATCCTGTTTCTAGAAATGCAAAATTTTCTATGCACATTTATAAAATAATTGCTTTTTGAGGACATTATATTTTTGTTCAGGAGAGAGTAGTACGTCTAAAATAATCCACATGCTGAATCTAGATGACTTATCAGTGTTGTTTGCAATTTTCTTGTTTAATGTACACATACATACAGTGGATTCACAAGAACGTAAGATATTTTTATTCATTGTGTTAACATAATTTAAATTGTTCAAACATTTCAACTAAAAATATCTATAATCTCTCAAAATCTTTAATATGCTTTGATGTTCGACTAAATACGTAGTTTTGACTATATAATTGCAGCGTGCAGTTCTCCAGATCCTTACATTGCTGGAAGTATTTTAGAGTCCAATTTTGGTTCTTTTGACCCAAATTCTGCTCTCTATACGACAGACACAACGATAGAAGGAATAAATCAGGGGACTCAGACAGCGTCAGGAGTCAGCATAACCATTGTTAGATCAGTAGCCACTCCTGTTGATCTTAACTTGTATAGTCTATTTGAACTAGTAACTTTATCAGTGAATAACTCATCCTTTGGAAGTAGGACTTTTATCCGTTTGAAGTCCGCAATTGATAGAGATGTAAGGTTGATACTTTTTCATAAAGTAATTAAAAATAAATCAATTTCTTAACTCTTATTATGGGACTTTTAATCTACTTGGAGAATGGAACCTTATCCATCCCCACACAAAACAGTTAACCTTTTTCAAGACTTTGTGTTTAAATATTCAATTATGAAGTTATTAATTCCTTATAAGAATTAATATGCCATCTTTCTCAAAACTAAGGGGAGTTCCTATGTTGAAAGTGATGACCTCAACACTGTTGAATTTCAATTATCCTGTCGATCATTGGTAAGTACTTTGTGAAAATCTGACCATATTTAGAAATTGTCATTGAAATATAGGCATCCAAAGTATTAACTTGTCTATCTGTCTGTGTGTTCTTGCATTAATTTGATCATTGTTCAACGTGCACACTTACACACACACATTCATAACTACAGTAGTGTGCACGGTTAATTAAAATGAAACCTATTTATTCAGGGTCAAGATAAAGCAGAATGTTCATTGAATACAGGAGCATAAATAACTGTTATTTTACGTAGCCTTAGTCACTTGTATAAATCGATGGTATTTAAAGTTGCATAATGGGTCAAAACCATGTGTTTCTTTTAAGAAAAATGTATCACAAAATAAAAGAATTCTGTGAAATATGAATATAGCGAAGTTTTGACGACTCAACTGCACTGTAAAGCAAGAAAAAAACTGCAAAATATAAGTGCCGGAAAAACAAATGTTGTATCTATTGCTTTGTTTTTATCGTCAATGTGAACAATTTCAAGGTCACGCGTCCTTTATTTTTAGCGTGAAACTAGTAAACAACATTGAATTGGGGCAAGCAGAAATAAGGGATAAGTTATGATCATCTTTTTTGAAGATTGTATCAAAATTCTCAGTCATCCGACATTTATATCTATGGAATTGAAACCATAGTAAATTCTTCAACTTTTCAGCGCATGCGTACAATAAAGAGGAACAAGTGAAGCAATATTTTTGTGATGGGTTATACAAAGATTTTTTTTTACTTTTATTTTTCTACATTAAATTAGATTTTTTTAGGTTCTGAAACCTGTAATTTTCTGAAACCTAATATCTTCAAGAACTGAACAAAATTTTCATATGTTATGCAAAAATTCTACTGTTGTCAATTTTCCCGTTTCTCCGTCACAGTGTCACTTTAATAATTGCATTAGTTGTAACTAAAAAAATTTAATTTCACTGGAACTGACATCTAAGATAATTTTGGAACATGACCAAAAAGAGAAAAAGAATATTTCCACTAACTCCTCCCCATGAGTCAAGTATGGGCTCTGCAAAAATCGAAATTGAATAATTTTCAAAAACGTTTCTTTTTTGCGGTAATGAGACTGTAATAAGACTTTATTCTTATATGATAAAAAAATTCCTCAGGGTAAGGTTATATTGATAAGTAAGAAATTTACATTTGTCATTATTTATTCATGAAATATGATTTTCATTTGATCGCCAAAGGTTTTGTGTATCTTGTTTTAACCTCTTTTTTAATACCTTATTTACAATGAAATAATGTTTGTTGATTAGATTTGATTATATATTGTTAAACAATAACAATGGATATAGATTGTTATTATTATGCTCTCTACAATATTTGTTTATTATTATGCTAGCTCTATAATATTTGTTTAAGGAGGACCGACCCTCAGATAAGAGAGATAACTTTCCAAGTGAAAATCCTTATATTATTAATAGTTTATCTTACTAGAGTTTAATTGTGGATCGGAGACCTTTGAGTAGTCATTTCAGTAAAACCTGACATAGGATGGAAACACTGACATGAACTTCTATTTTCTTTTGCCTCTATTTTTCAAATTGTTTTATTATATTTGACGTAAAACATTTATATCCAGTTTTAAAACCCGTACAGGCTGAATTAGTTCTATCTTTTTATGAACCATTTTAAGATTGCTTTAATGTATCATGTACCATATGTAGAATCTTTATTACTATTACATTTTTTTTCCATTGAAAAAAATATTTTTAAGAAAGATAACTCTTGCTAATGGATGTATTCTTTTTTTACAAACACATATAACAATGTGATATTCTGATTTGGGAAGTTAAGCAGCGCTTTATTTTGTTTTCTAGCATGAATTTAATATGCATGGCACTACTTATTTTCTTACACACCTCATATTTTTATTTTATATTGTGATAATAAATTGTTACTCTTTCTATTCTCTGTGTTAAAATTTCTTCATATCATGGTCCGACATAAAATACATTTTTGGAAAAATAAGCAGTGCTTCATACCACATACTATTTTTCATTTGAATCTAATGCTATAGCTCTTGAAGAAAATCAATTTTGGGAAGTTTATATTTTAATTTTATTTATTTATTTATTTCTGAAATGCCGAGCAAAGGGTCATTAGTTATTAACTTCAGTATTTTGGGTTCTAAAAGCAAATTCCATTTTTAAGAAAACTCCAAAAGTTAATTTCAAAGCTTTAAAAAAATTGCTTCAAAGTAATAACATAGAAATATTAATCATACAGGATAATTTAGTTGTTTAAAATATATGATGAAACAAATGATTATTCATCAATAATTGTACCGGTCTCTGTCTTAAATCTGCCATTGTATTTTGGTAATCATACTTAATTCATAATATTCAAAGTGTGTGCCTTGTTGATGTACTTATAAGTTAATAAGTGTTTTGAAGAAAGAAAACTTTGTCCTCGTAAAGTATAAGGTAAGGAAACGATGATTTGACCCCTTATTTTACATAAAAAGCAATACACAGTTAAAAATGATTAAAAATTATTTGCAAATATAAATTTGGTACAAAGACAAACCTTTAAACTGTGATTTAGGAACAAAATGTGGTTTAAGAGTCCTCTAGACACTGCACACTAAAGAGTTCTGATTTCTTGGTATTTTTATGTAGTTAGAGTAATCTGCCTTTGATCAAGAATAAAATAAATTGAAATATACAGTTTATTACTTAATTTGTAATCAAATCAAGCAGTCATAAAATTTTAATAGGCCAAGATGAATAGAATGAACACTTCATTTGCAGGTATTTTGCCCATTTAAGTAAACAACAGAGATTTCTGTTTATCAGTAGCCCTACTTCATTGTCTTTGAACGTTTTTTCTAGGGGTAAAGGCAAGGTTCCCTATGTTAAAAATGTTATAGATAAGCTCAATATTTACATCTTTACACACTATAATTTTCTCAATGTCCAAAAAATTCTTATCTTCTAGTGTATAGAGGGTTTTTAAAACTAAATAAATAAAAATTTAATTAAACTTGAGAAAATTCGGAAACTGACAAATTTTTTTTACCCTCTGGTGACGTTTGCGTAACCAATCACTTAAAATCATCACTCATTTTGAGACAGAAATGAAAACATTTTTTTAAAATTATTACATGTAACTATTAGAAATTTCTTAAAGACACCTCAAAGCAGGGGCAAATAGGGGCCTAAATTTATATCGTTCTTTAAAGAAATACAAATTTGTAACTTTAAAAATCTAAATTTCAGAAAGACCCAAATAAAACAAAGTTTTTTCTGATGCAGCTGGAGATTCGGGATATAAATGATAATTCACCTATATTTAGAGATGCTCCATATTCTGCCTTGGTCGCTGAGGTTTGTTTGTTTGCTTTTTAGGTCACCTGCGTTTACTCAGGTGATTTATTGCTATCTGTTTTTGTCCGTCGTCTTGCGACGTGCGTCTCTCGCAAACTTTTGAACATTTTCAGCTTCTTCTCTGAAACTGCTAAACCAATGTCAACCAATTTTGGCATATAGCATCTATGAGTGAAGAGGAACAAATATTGTGAATTTTATGGTCCCCCCCCCCCCGGGGCCTGAGAGGTGGGGCCAAAACCACTAATATTAATGCAATCTTTAAAAATCTTTTTCTTTACTCCTGGACATCAAACAGTCAAACTGTTGGCTTGATTGTAATGAACATTGAGCCCTCTACCAAAATTGTGAAATTCATGGCCCCTGTGTCAGGGGTTTTGGTGCTAGTTCGTGGCTCTGTGAATATATAGTGAAAATGTAAACGTATTATTTCTTTAAAAATCTTCTTCTCTGATCCTGGGTATTAAACAAACAGACTTAATGCACAGTTATGATGAGGAAGGGTACCTCTTTCAAAATTGTGAATTTCATAGCCCCTGGTTCAGGGGTTCTGGTATTAGGGCTGAGCTCTAATGATTAAATAATGAAAATGGATTGCATTAATTCTTTGAAAATCTTCTCTGCTCCTGGGCATTAAGCTGATAAACTAAGTACATAGTTATGATAAGGAGGAGTGCCTCTTCTAAAATTGTAAATTTTATGGCCCCTGGGTCAGGAATTCTGGTGCTAGGGCGAGGCTCTATTGATCATATAGGGAAAAATTCTTAAATTCTCTAAAAATCTTCTTCTCTCCCGCTGTATATAAAGCAGATAAACTAGGTACATGGTTATGATGATCAATGTTGCCTCTTCCAAAATTGTGAAATTTGTGGTCCCAGGGTGAGGGGTTCTTCGGGAGGGGGGGGGCTCAATTGAATATTTAGTGAAAGTGCATATTTTCTTTGAAAATCTTGTTCTCTGCTATTAGGATTTAGCAGATAAACCAAGTATATAATTATGTTGAGCAAGGGCGCCTCTTTCAAAATTGTGAATTTCATGGCCCCTGGGTCAAGGATTCTGGTGTTAGGGTGGGGCTCTATTGATCATATAGGGGAAATGCATAAATTCTTTCAAAATCTTCTTCTGCCCCCTGTATATAAAGCAGATAAAATAGGTGCATGGTTATGATGATCAATGGTGCATCTTCCAAAATTGTGAAATTTGTGACCCCAGGGTGAGGGGTTCTGTGGGAAGGGGCTCTATTGATTATATAGTGAATGCGCATTATTTCTTCAAAAATCTTCTTCCCTGCTCCTGAGTATTTAGCAGATAAACAAAGTATATAGTTATGATGAACAAGGATGCCTCTTCAAAAATTGTGAATATCTTGGCCCTGGGTTAGGGGTTCTGGAGTTGAGGAGGGGGAGGGGTCTCTTTTGATTATATAGGAAATTGCATTATATGATGAGCAAGAGTGCCTCTTCCAAATTTGTGAATAACTTAATTGGTCCCTTGGTCAGGGGCTTTGGTATCAGGGTGGGGCTATGTTGAATCTATAGTGAAAATGGATTATTTCCTTGAACATCTTTTTCTCTGCTTATAAAGTTGTAATAAGCAGGGGTGTTTTTACCAGATTTTGAAATTCTGTACCCTTTGGTCGATTCATTAATTAATCAACTTAAAAGGTCAATTGAATAAAGAATTAAACAAGAGTTCTTATAATATTAAATACAACAGTACTTGCATATTTTAAATGGTCAGGTAAACTTATAAATAATTATAGATAAATGAAAATGAGACAAAAAAAACCCCTATTTTAATTTGTACAATAAATAAGAGAGGCCAATGCGAGGGGGAATGAAATGTCTTAACTAACAGTGCTCTAGAACTATTGTTTTGTTTATTCCGCATGAGGATAGTGACAAATAAGGGAAAGTACAGGCAAATAAATAGATCAACTTTATGATTTGTTATTGAGTACTAAATTAATAGTTTGCTGTTCCCTGATTATCCTATTTCTCTTGCTTTTGGGCAACATAACTTTATTTATCAGCTTAATTTGTTTTAATCTATGGATCGTAAGATTATACTCAGGTGACCGTTAAGGCCTTTGAGCCTCTTGTTTAAATAGAGATATTTAACATGATTTAAAATGGATCTGAATGGACACCAAAGCAAAATGTATAGAACTTTTGAAGAGATATATGACTATATTTAAAAGTCTTGAACCAGTGACATTGTGGATTAAGGTCGTCCTTACTTTAGAACAAAAAAAAAAAAAACAAAACAAAACAAAAACAAAACAACGCACTGATTGTTCTAAACGCCGTAGCCTGAGCAATAGATATATGAAAGGCACGGACCTTTCAAACGAGGATTTAATGTAAATGCATTGCTACATGTACATGTATTTGGCGATAGGCGGGGATCCATTTTCTTACTTTCACTTATTGTCTTCAGCGAAAAAAATCTCACGGGGATACTAAATGAGATGAATCAATTAATGCACATGAAGACGCTGTACTTGTTTTTCTACGTGATGTTGACGCTTGATTTACACGAGTTTACTAATGTTTTGTACCAAAAGAGACTTTTAAAATTAAAATGAAGTACTTAATTTAATGTGAATCAGATATATGATTGTTATTAATACCGATTTTTTATATGGATTAACAGTCAGCACCAGTAGGAACAACTGTGTTTTCTGGGATAACAGCTACAGATCGCGATGCTGGAATCAACAGAGAAATAGAGTATGCCATAGCTCCGGAAAATAACAGTATTGTTAGTTTTTTGCGTATTTGATTTTAATTTTTTTTTATTCTCGGACATTTTACTATTTTCTACTAACTTAAATTGAAAATAATTGTATTCAAATATTTTCTGCTTTTATAAAATGCATGGCAGAAGAACTGTAAAACTGTACAATTTTAAAACTATATTTCCTTCATCCTTTTTCCAACTTCAAAAATGATTTGTTTAAAATTTTACTCAATTTAATACGGTACATTTACACTTAATCTGCTTGAATTGATTATAATCTTCATCACCTGTTGGAAAAATAAATCTGTCATCCATATAGAACAATTTGATTTATAGGCGGTCATTCTCCCTTAAGATGACATATTTACAGACTTTTTCAAGAATGAAACACCAATGCTATGTATGGTTCCTATCTGTTACATTTAGGCACCAGACGAGTTTAGTGCTGTATTGGGCAAATATGCTCAGAACTATTTTTACATGGACCCAGAATCTGGCATAATTTTTCTCAAGCATTCAATTGAAGGAATAGGAATCCAACAATTTATAGTGAGTACATTTAGAAGAGTTCAACAGGTTTGATTTGAAATTAAAACAAAATATGCATGTAAAACATTTCACTTGCGAAATTTTGAAAGATCAAACATGCCATTTTGATTCCTGCAGGCTACTCATCATTATACTTTTAATACATGAACTTCCTTCAATGGTTAATTTTGTCTCCCAGTTCAAGGTGACTGCAGCGGACGGGGGTACACCATCAATGATTGGAGAAGCTACAGTGACTATCAACGTAACAAATGAGACTCTAAGATTTACACAGTTGCAACCTTACTTTGCCAGCATTGACGAAAATTATCCTGTGGATCGTACTTTCATTTCTGTAACTGCAACTCCTCAGGTGATAATATATCAATATTTTGCTACTGTATTCTACACTAACTTAACAATTGATCCCAATATAACATGCCTAGAGTGTCATCTGTCCACAGTTTAGGCTATAAAAGCATCGAGATGTTTCCTTGAGAGGAGCAGACAATATAGTACATATTTTATAGTAAATACCAATTCTAGGACAGTGTGAACTAATCGACATGCTACGGAAAGTCCAAGTACAAATTTTTCCATTTCTATTTATTTTCTCTGTGATAACTCTTTGAAAGTTAGTTGAATTGATTTCTTGATCATTCTACCGGAATGTAAATTTCGCCAAGCGAAAGGTCAGGAGCTAAGAAGGCCTAATATGCATGTAATTCTCGTGCGGCTTTGTGTTTGACGTCAGTGGGCGGGGACTATTGAAATTGACATGTGAGGCCTCGTGTAATTTAAATCTACAGTGTATTAGTCTACATTTTTAAAATCTATATTTACAATTTTATTTTACAAAGAAATGGAACTATAAGGAATCACTGTCTAGTTAGTAGAGTATGCCTGGGACATCAACGATAGTTGGAAACGTGCCCGATAATTTATGCATAACAGGCTTTGCCCGTTATGCAAATTATCCCACGTTTCCAACTATCGTTGATGCCCTGGCAAACTCTACAAACTAGACAGTGATTCCTTTAATAATCTCCAAACTATTTTTAATCCCCTACCGGTGAAACCGGAGGGGACTATTGGTTTCCTCTGAGTCTGTCCGTCCGTCTGTCTAGCTGTCTGTCCGTCTGTCCAGCTGTCCCTCTGTCAGTCTGTCCCACTTGGTTTTCCGCACTTTTTTTCAAAACGCTTGCAGATATTCAGCTGATTTTTGGTATTTGGGTGTATCTTAATGAGTTACAGGTCAAGTTTGCGTTCCGTTTCAATGATTTTGACGAAATTACGACCTCTTCAATTTTTTTAGGGTTTTCCAGAATTTTTTTTCCAGACGCTTACAGATATTGAGCTGATTTTTTGGAATGTGACTTTACCTTGTTGAGTTACAGATCAAGTTTACATTTCGTTCCGCTTCATTGATTTTTGACGGAATTATGGCATTTTCAATTTTTAATGGGAACCAGATTACACTTGCCGGTAGGGGACTAGTATTGCTAATGCAATACTCTAAGAATGCTTGTTCTTCAAACTATAAGCGTATTTCAAAGAAGATGGGTGAACAAGGCAAGCGAAATGCCCATAGTGGGACAAACAAATGTGAAAAATTAATTCTAAATTATAACAAAATTTTCTTTGATATTTCATCTAACATTAAAGTATACGTTATGTGCAATCTCCACAATTTGAAAAAAAAAATTCACAAAGACTGAAATTATTTGCCTATGAAATAGCATATCGCCTTAAGAGGGCGAAAAGGATCATTTTCTTATACTATAACACAATTTTTTTTCGATATGAGTGGGTCTTCGCTCCATTTTTTTTTTAAAGTTTATCCTCAAAGTTTGCGTAAAAATATACATTTTTTGGTTAACAAAATATGGAGCAAATACTCACTATACCTTAAAAATACACTTTTATGACACGGCATTCACATCTTTACGAGAAATAATTGAAGTCCATTTAGTCAAGAGTTATATTACAAACATGATTTAAATGCCATAACTAATAAAACGTTGTGTAGTTAGTCTCAAAGGAAAATAATACTCAGGATTTTATTACTAGGGGTTGAACCCAAAGAATACCACATTAATTTTAATAAAAGAATAATTTTTGCCAAGAAAATTTTCCTCAAAAAGTTTTTTTTATCATAATTTCATAAATTTCAAAATTTAGAACTTTACTGTAAATACTTAATTCACAAACTGAATACGGTTTTTATGAATCTGAAGCTATAGGCATTCTGCACGCCTAGTTCACCCATCTCCCTTGCAAGGAGTTTCAACAATTCCATATTGGCACTGAAAATGCAGATTTCAGAATTCTAAGTCTCAGAATGATTTTTTTAAATTAAATTTTACAGGAAAGAGCTACATCCGTTCCTATTTAAAGGACTACAAAAATGTACGCGTAACGGGTCTTTCTATCAAGTAGATAAATTTCATTCTCAGGAAATATTTCAATGAGAGATTGTCGTATACTAGCCACGCACTCAGAAAAAAAAACTCCACCTTTAAGGTCTATTACAATAACAATGACAATAGTTTATTATCATAAACTGTAAGAGTTTATTATTATAAACTGTAAGTACTGTGTAGAGAAGAATCATTCATAAATTAATGCATAGAAAATACGAAAAACAGAATCTGTACTGTATCCAATAAAATACACAATCGAAACAAATCAACAAATAAGCATTTGCACGTGCTAAACATAAGGAAATATTTATAGAATGCATTTTTTATAAAAAGAAACATAATTCAATTGATGATTAAACAAAGTCACGAAATATTAACTAGCATAACATGTCATGAACCCACACTTTCCTATATAAGAAGCGCACACATTCTTACAAGTACACATTGTTCCGCTTCATCAAGTATCTGATGCCGTATCTCATTTGATCTGTTTTCGAAGTTATGATAATAAGCTCTGATCTTTCATTCATAGTCACACTTTAGTTGATGGATAGAGCTTCATTGATTGGCATCCATCGCAGATTTACCATAATTAAACATAATTCTCCGAATTACATATATATACATCAATTAAGAAAAAATACATCATTTTTAGAGTTTCATAAGGATTATGATATGAAGTTGGTCACGTGATCAAATCCTACTACATGAAAAATACATAATTTTAATCATTTTTTTAAAATTATAAATTCAATATTGATATGACTGTTGTCTGTGTGTGTTATTACAAGCTGTACGTATATTTTCTTTTCTAGCCAGATATCAAATATTCGATCATTGGGTTTAGTGATAGTCCAGATTACTTCAAAATTGACGAGACAACTGGTGCTATTTCTATAAAAACTGACCTCCGGACTGATTGTTTTAAAAGAACAACATATTTGGTTAGAGTTTTTAATGTGGTTATATTTTTCATATATAATGATTTAATACAAAAAATAACTTTCTCATTCTAAAGTACATGTATTCTTGAAAAGTAATTTGAATTATTCAAATCAAAACAAAATAATGTAAGGCATATATATATATATATATATATATATATATATATATATATATATATATATATATATATATATATATATATATATATATATCATAGATATTAGTGAGAGCGGAGAAGCAGTTCCCTAATGGACTGCAGTCAGTAGAAAACACAGTAAATGTGACAGTGGCCAGAAACATCAATCCTCCAGTATTTAATGCCACAGTGTACAGAGCAAGTATTGATGAGAAGTACAACTTAGGACGGTCTGTCGTACAAGTGTTTGCTACCGACCTCGATACTCAGGTAAGAATAGATGGTTTTCCATCGAGGTGATTTAAGCAAGAGTTATTTCCCATGGCCGCCATATTGTAGGTCAACATCCCAAGATCCCTTCATTATTCAACCAAGTTCAATTTGTTATATTGGACATTGAGGTGAAGATAACACTGTTTTTCTTATGAATATACGTTTGTTAAAGCTTCTTTTAATTCATAATTTTAATATTGTAAATATTTTTTACCATATATTTCTGGCATGCATGTTTAAAATTGGTTGCTCAAAGAGGAAAATTCACTACCTTGACCTACAAGATGGCGGCCAAGGGGAATAATTCCAAGGCAAAATACGTCATAGGAAAACCATCTTAGCTCCCCTTTTTTCAATTAATACAGTTTAATTAACAACGGAAAAAGGATGGAAAATAGCTTTTTAAAAGGTTTCTTTCAAATTTTTTCTTCAATACATAAAAAAATGGAATGACAATTTCTATTTAACAACTTGAAAAAAAGGATGTATTTTAAAGATCTTTGCTGTAACATGAGTGATAAATTTGTCATTTTGAAGATATTTGGGGAGTGAAAATAACAATACATCTTTATGCGCACAGTGTTCATATAAGTACTTTTGTTCACGCAGGATGTGCTCTTATACTCTATTATTGAACAAACTGGGGAGACGGAACCATTTTACATGGCTGCTAACACAGGAATCATAAACCTAAATCAGCTTCTTTCTGGCTCATCCAAAACAACATACACAGTAAGATAACAAACTCTAAAAATCAAAATTTACTAGATGCGTGGGAAACTGAATTTTTACTGGTGGTGACAGAAAAATTCCAATGTAATCCTAGTTCATGAAAATATTATAGAAAGAAGAAATAATTTACACATCCTTTGTTCAAAACACCCTCAGTGATCTTGGGAATGGAGGTAAAAAAAAAACATAAAACACCCTACTTATTATATATGTCTTTTAATTTTTTTTAGGGGAGCGGGGGGGGGGGGGTATACATTATTTTTCGAGTCTTCTAATTTTTGCATCTGCTTGATATTTCAAACTCAAACTGTATTTTTTTAAAACCAGAAACAGAAGATTTATAAGGAATAAATTAATTAGTAACCCAACCAAGTATGTACTCGAATAACCTGGGAGAGTGCTAATTGCAATTCTTTGACCGTTCCAATCCAAGTTGTACAAGTTAATATTGGAGCAATAAGTTGTACAAAATTTAATGTCAAGCAGATTGATGCATTTAGACGCGTTATATTGTAACGCGGTCCACACAGGTTATACAATATTTAAACAAATGTTTTTCTCCTCAATCAAATGGCTCGTTATAACCAAAGGTAAATTATTACTGAATATTTTTTTTTTCTGGTTGAAACACGTCATTTGTTTGGATAAAAAATATTTTGTATCGTATAACCTCTCAATATGACTTACGCCAAAATCGTATCAATCCGATTGACGTAACATAATTATAATTCTGTATAATTTGAAGGTATTTTTGAAGATCGATTGGTCTTATTTTTTTATACTTATATAACTGGTATAAATCTAACTATAAGTAATAAATTTAATAGCTTTCAAAGTTATACTTGTATAAACTGGATTGAAACAGTAAACGCTTATACAAAACCGCTTCGCGGTTCATAAAGCGTAAACTACATGTACCCCCAAAACAGGTTATACAGTATAACTTGTGTAGCTACATGTATTCATTCGCAAAGTGTCAAGGTTTGCTTAGAGTCCTTTGCCCCGTGAAGTAAATACATGTATCTCTTGGACACTTATTGAATGTATAATTATCTATTTTATATATATATATATATATATATATATATATATATATATATATATATATATATATATATATATATATATATATATAATTCTCGTAAGTTGATGCATTGTGACATTTTATATTGCGTCATTATAAAACGTTTTATTTCTTGGATCTAGGGGAGTGTTCATATTTTAATTCTTTGCTGGAAATATTCAAACAAACATGTTTTCTGCTGAATTTAAAGATATTGCAATTTCACAAAGTCTGTTTTCAAATACCTGAACTCTCATAAAGAAAAAACTTTGTGTAGGAAATAAAAGCTCCAAATCTCTATTAATATTGATGATTGAAAAATTGCATGGGGCGACAGCTAGTCAATTATTATGTGCAATGTTTGATCAATATCATACTTATCATTCTACATTTTCTCTTTATATATGTAACCAAATTAATTACCGTCTTCCTTGGAGTATTTTAGTCTTCGCACTATGCACTTCCTCTCTTTTGTGATTGGTAGAAATTGCATGATGTGAACATTTTCAATTACATGTATTTCATTGGTTGAGGGATATAAATTACTCAGGATTTAGACTAAGATCACTTACGTGTATATTTCGAGACAGTTATAACGCATTTTGCTTATCGTGCAACACAGCTTTACACCTGACTTCCAAATCGAGCTATATTCAACAAATTTAGGCACATCATAGCAGTTGAAACCATATAACGCCATGGCGTAAAGAGTGCAATATAGATGTCAAAGACGGACTTTGAGGCTATATTATGTATATTTCGGCATTGAACGAACATAGCTTTCGTTTATTGGGTTATCTTTAATCAGCCAATGCAAGCTGTGGTTGCAGGATAAAAGAAATAAAAGTGCAAATTTTATTATAAAATCAATAACCACAACTACATGTTCTAGTAATTTTTGCTACATATTGATAAATACGTATCTATGTATTTACTAAATATTGTTTTATCAATTGTTATAAACTATTTTTTAGTTGCCCATTAACAGCAATTTTTTTTTTATTCTTGAAGTGATTGTTCGATCGGTTGAAAGTTTTTTTTTCTCTTTTTTTTTTTCACTGGGTTTCGTGCTATTACGCTCTTTTCATCAAGTATAAGATTGCATGGAAATTGATGTTCAATACCTACAGTTTATCAATTAATAAACTCTTGTAAGTTGTTATTTCCTAACAAGGTGCCAGTAACTTAAAGATTGAAAAAACTACCTCTACCACTACCTCCTATCTTTTTTGATATTCCATGACTGTATATAGAAAGCTAAAGTATACATATAAATAAATTTACAATAACATTATGCAATTAGAATTAGATAAAGTTAACGTACACCACATTATACCTAGTGTTATATTAAAAGGGTAAGCATGCAGGTCATAAGTCCATACGTGGTCGTGGGACCCCTGACAAGCCTTATTCGATATTTTACGGGCTGACTGCAGCGACATCTTTCAGGGAAATCATAAATCTTCATTGCTTTTCTTATCTCTTGACCAATCACATTAATCCTTTCCGTTTCAAACACTTGGAACACGTAAACTGAGATGCCAACTGCTTACTTTCTGTTTACGTTTTATGTCAACTTTGAGAGCCCTAAGAGCTAGGTTCACTTTATGCACAAAATGGCCCTGTAGATATACCAATTTATTGACTAATACCCCGTGTACCATTTTCAACATAAATATAAAGTAGGGACTTAGTGCTTTCAGTTTATATAACAGAATTTCCTTTGAAGAGTCCAAGCATTGAAAAACAGGCTGTGTGAAATTGCAATGTTATTGAATTTTGCAGAAAACATGTGTTTTTGAGAACCTTCAGAAAAGAATTGAAATATGAGCACCCCCCTCGATCCAAAATTAAAATATGTTTTATAATCTTCATTAACAGTTCCTTTATAATATATTTACACATTTTGGATCGGAGGTTGTGCTGTATACGAAATATTGAAAAATGGCATCATATTTTGACCAGTTTTGAAGAAATATTCAGGATATGTGAATAATGACGCAATTCATGACGTCATAATGCATTGACTAGAAAGAAAATTACGTCATTTTCAGTAGATATTCATTCACCAAGTGCTCAAGTATTATTTATTGCCTTGTTGACTAAAACTATACCGTTTTGAATTTTCGGAATTTCACAGGGCCAAAAAGGCCCTAAGTGGCTCTTGCTCTTTAATTGGTGCAGTGAAAGGAGCAAGCCCATAGAACACCGAATGAAGTTTTTCAGGGGGTCTCGACGCAACGTCAGGAATTGGTACTAAACGTTGTAACGCTAAAAATGACGTCGAAAGGGATTGTTCTGACGTGCGCTGTATATGAATTAAGAGAATAATTAATTACATTGAACTAGTAGTAATCTGTAGACAGAACCTTGGTTAAAAGTATTTTCTTATTAATAAAGCAAATCATCAAGATGAGAATTATGTTTCTATTTTTCTATCAATTGTGTTTTTTATTCCATGTGAGGTCAAGCTATGTCAACTCTACAAATGCAGATTTAGACATTTACACTTACCGGTAGATAATTGTTTAACGATGATCATCTATATAACACCCCCTCCCCCCCCCCCCAACCCCCCCCCACCCCCCAAATCAAACAACCCAAGGAAAGATAAACGCACATTCTTCCGATAATTTACATTTTGTTTGAAGGCTACAAAAATACGTTAATTAATTCTAAATAAAGGAGGAAATGCACATAAACGTAAATTTCCGAATTGTGCGTTCTAGGAACGTCAGACTTCATTTTAGCTAGCTAGGAGACACTTCCGCAAGGCATTTCAATTCAATTCTTTTATACTTTCCGCAATAAACGATAAGATCGGATCAAACCTACATGTATCGAAAGTAATTTTTAGTACTTTACAGTGAAATAAATTTCAACCAATTTGGAACTTGAATTTGGAATAAATTCATAAGCTATTGATTATAATACATATTTGACATGGCGTCATTTAGGCATCGGGACATGTTTGCAGGACACGGAAGATGTTTGATTATACTCGCTTTGAAAGACGGAAATCATTCTTCACTTTTCGAAAACAAGTAACTGTTTAGAGGTACTCGGTGTATGTCAAATCAAATTTGTTTATTTAATGACAATTTATTTCAGTTTTACCTATTGAAATTGCGGTAACCTAAAATTTCATTGAATGGGACATCCTAAAAGACCTTTGTTTCAGTGGTTTTCCGTATCCTTTCTCTGAACAGAGCTTCTCAACAAATATGTTAGATCTAATTAAATGTGATGTTATAGAACAATCCTGTGAAATTTCGAAGAGCTGTGAGGAGATTTAAAAACTTTTTCGAGAAAAGGTGTCTTTTGAAGGTGCTTCTCTGTTACAACGGGACAATGTAGAAAAAGGACGTTATTCCCGAATATTATGGCCTGTTAATGTATGAATACCTTTGGATTTATGTTTATTTCTATTATATTATTATTGGAGAGGAAAAAAACTTTACTTTCATATAAAACACTTCATCGTCAGAAATGGACCAGAAATTTTAGCTGAAAACGGATTAGAAGTACATTTTCTTGTTGGTATCAATTCCTGACCTAACTTAAGACCACATGTAGATAGACTCAGGACCCCTGACTTTGTGACATGTCGTGAACTTTGCTGAATGCATTTACGAGTTAAATTGCAAAATTCATTCATTTATAAGTATAGATTTGTAGCTTAGTTTATATTCAATGATGGAAATTGAATTAAAGAAGATGGGCGTACTTGGCGTGCATGCGATCTGCAGGAATCATGCGTACGAAACATTTGTGGTTTAAATGTCCACGATTTGGTCGGCTGACCAGAAGTGGACAGACTTTACAAAGTTACGCACATAGGAAAATGTTTAGATTTACATTGAAATAGCTTTCAAATTTGAAATATTTTAGTCCATTTATCTTAATAGTTACGATAACACAGTCAATTGATACTTCACATAAATAATAAACACCTAACAACTTACAAGATAATAGGGTATGATATATGAAATAAAGTTTCAGTAGGTTTGAAAAGTTGCTTTCGCTCTCCATGCAACTGAAATTTATCTCTTTTAAAACTTATAAATGAGTAAATAAGATCCAACTGATAAACGACTTGATTGTTTGTATAAATTATTTTTTAAAAAAGTAAGTTGTTCCATGTGAGGATCGAACCAAAACTTCTCGCCTGCTGTGTGCACAGGACTGGTAACGCACACTACTAAGCTATCATCGCTATACAAACAAGCTTGAATTTAAAATGGCAAAGAAGCAACGCATTTACACATTGGTATTTTTTGGAAAAAGTTCATTTTTTATAGTCTCTGGGTCTTCTCTCCATTGTTTTAAAATGTTTGTTCGTTTCTTTGATTACAAATGCACACAAATGTCTTTTTAAAATCGTGGAGAGATGACCCAGAGATAGCAAATTTTATGAAAAACGTGTTTAAAAATGTAACAATTTGTACCAAAATGACTCATATAACCATGTTCCAAGTTATTTTTAAGGAAATCAAAACACACTATAGGGAAAATATTCTCCTTTCCTATTTCATAGGAACATAATACATCAAAAGAATGTTAAAATTTAATTTTATAGTTCAATAAAGTTTTCACTTTTCAAGTGCGCCCAGATTCCTGCCGAATGTCAATCAAAAGCGCCCTCGTTCTTATACCAAAATTAGTTTTTGTTTGATTTTTTTTAATATGTGAAAAAAATATTCATTAATTCTTATACTGTTTAAAGTTTAAATTGACTGCTAAGAAGGACATACAATAAATAGTCCAAATGATAGTAAAGATTTGAAAACCTTTATCTAGATATACATGTTATTATCTTTTACAGTTCACTGTGCGAGTTCGTGATCAGTCCAAACCAGAGAAATTTGGACAGTCCCAGGTGGAGATCACAGTAAGAAGAAACACTAGCCCTCCATCGTTTCTTAGACCGCAGTATGGAGCAGGCATTGATTTTAACCAGGCTCCGGGACAAGTGCTAACTACCTCAGCAGTTGATCCAGATATGTCTGTATGTGGACTCATTTGCATCATATAGCTGTCATTAATTTACTTTATATCATTGCAGTGTATCAGTGTGGAACTAGAGGATATTCAATGTTTTGTAGATGAATATGGAATTTATTTCACGAGTGGGACAAGATTTTTTGATTTTCACGGGTGCGAAGCACGATTGAAAATATCAAAAAATCGTGTCTCACGAGTGAAATAAATTCCATATTCATCTACAAAACATTGAATTTTCTGTTTATTACATTTTCTTATATTTTTTCCTTTGCCTCTGTATTTTCGTAACACAGTGTCATAGGCTTTGACGTCATAGTTGAGCGGCTGAGACGTCATAGCTAAGCGATTGCGAGTAAACATGGATTTTTAACGGGATATTTGGAAAAAACTTTCAGTTTGGCAATATAACTATTAGTCACTGTCAGGTTGGCTCATTAACTCTATCTTATAACAGGCCAGGGATTTTTTTAAACACTCTTCGTGAAGGGAAGGAAAAGCGTAAGTTTTGCCGCACTTCTAACACTCTCACACTGTGAGAATACCATTTTGATATCCTTTTACACTGTGTCAGAATATCACTTTCATTCAGTAAATAAATTACAGTATTTCACTGTTGTAAATGTAATATATATATATATATATATATATATATATATATATATATATATATATATATATATATATATATATATATATATATATATATATATATATATATATATATTAGGGATGGCAATTTGTAATCGGTTAACCGGTTACTCGGTCGGAACGATGGTAATCGGTTCGAAAAATCTGTAATCGGTTAGGCGGGAAAAAAATAATATATGCTTAAACTTGAACACTTTTTCCTTTAAATTGAATTCAAAACATACAAATTAAAATATCTTAAATGTTAGCATTTTTACCTATCTATTTAAGCTGATTTGGAGATAATTAAGGCGGGGGTAATTGGTCAGTTTTCGGGATGTTAATTGCTGTTTAAACACCACGTCGTTGCTCAACCTGTCCTGTGTTTCTTTAATGATATTAATTAAAGGATCGTTGAGTACTCAAAACGGGTTATAATGTGTATCTATCCTTTGCAGTTATTTTTCGAATTATATAATTAAACAAACATTGTAAATTAAGTGTCAGTTAAGACTTTTTTTTTTATTATGGTGACAATGCAGAATGGACATGCGTATCACCTATTCTGACATACAATTTTTTCTGACATATATTTTTCCTATAACTGATGCTACAGACATGTTTCCTGGGTTTTTAGCTCACCTGAGCTGAAAGCTCAAGTGAGCTTTTCTGATCACCCGTTGTCCGTCGTCCGTCCGTCCGTCCGTCCGTCTGTAAACTTTTCACATTTTCGACTTCTTCTCAAGAACCACTGGGCCAATTTTAACCAAACTTGGTACAAAGCAACCTTGGGTAAAGGGAAGTTTAAATTGTTAAAATGAAGGGCCAAGTCCCCTTCAAAGGGGTGATAATCAAGAAAATACAAAAATTGGGTGGGGTCATTAAAAAATCTTCTTCTCAAGAACCACTGGGCCAGAAAAGCTGAAACTTATGTGGAAGCATCCTAGGGTAGTGTAGATTCTAAATTTTTCAATTCATGACCCCCGGGGGTAGGGCGGGGCCACAATAAGGAAATCCAGGTTTTACATTGAAATATATAGGAAAAATCTTCTTCTCAAGAACCAGTGGGCCAGAAAGGCTGAAACTTATGTGGAATCATGCTGGGGTAGTGTAGATTCTAAATTGTTCAAATTATGACCCCCGGGGGTAGGGCGGGGCCACAATAGGGAATCCAAGTTTTACATTGAAATATATAGGAAAAATCTTTAAAAATCTTCTTCTCAAGAACCACTGGGCCAGATAAGCTGAAACTTACTTGGAAGCATGCTGGGGTAGTGTAGATTCCAATTGTTCAAATCATGACCCCTGGGGGTAGGGCGGGGCCACAATAGGGAATCCAAGTTTTACATTGAAATATATAGGAAAAATCTTTAAAAATCTTCTTCTCAAGAACCACTGGACCTGAAAAGCTGAAACTTATGTGGAAGCATGCTGGGGTAGTGTAGATTCTAAATTTTCCAAATCATGACCCCCGGGGGTAGGGCGGGGCCACAATAGGGAATCCAAGTTTTACATTGAAATATATAGGAAAAATCTTTAAAAATCTTCTTCTCAAGAACCACTGGGCCAGAAAAGCTGAAACTTATGTGGAAGCATGCTGGGATAGTGTAGATTCTAAATTGTTCAAATCATGACCCCCTGGGGTAGGGCGGGGCCACAATAGGAAATCCAAGTTTTACATTGAAATATATAGGAAAAATCTTTAAAAAATCTTCTTCTCAAGAACCACTGGGCCAGATAAGCTGAAACTTACTTGGAAGCATCCTGGGGTAGTGTAGATTCCAATTGTTCAAATAATGACCCCTGCGATAGGGCAGGGCCACAATAAGTACTACGGGGGGGGGGGAGAGAAATCAGGTGAAAAACAGCAAGGCCAAAGTTACTCAGGTGAGCGCTGTGGCCCATGGGCCTCTTGTTTATTTATCCCACCCGTTAAATTGAAACAACGTATATATCTGTTAAATATAAACAAAATATCACTAAAGATAATATCTTCATAGTCTTGTTTATTTGAATTGAGCTTACAGTACTGAAATATATTTAGAATTTTTGATACGATTTACCGATTAATCGATCGGAACGTCTAGCGGTTAACCGATTGGCAATTCTGTATTCGATTGCCATCCCTAATATATATATATATATATATATATATATATATATATATATATATATATATATATATATATATATATATATATATATATCTTCCCAAGAAACAACGTTCTCAGGAAACTGCAATAGTCAAGCTATTCGAGAAAATTGGCCCTCAAGTGGCAAATTCAGAAATTTTATCAGAATTTTTCAACGAAGAAAAAAATAGAAAGAAATTTAAAAAAAATGCATTGTAGTAGTAGATTACAAAGAACTGTAGAGATGTAGAGATTACTTATTTTGTTACCATGGAGTAAAGTTGTTGATTGTTTCAGGGCACGCTTGTGTATGAAGTAACTGGATTTTTCTCAGCTCCAGGATATTTCAGTGTGAATTCCTACGGAGAAATTAATCTAATTGTTAATTTAGCCAGTGACACTGCAACATCCTACACCGTACGTTTTTGAAGCATTTCATAAAACAGTATACATGTACATCTACTCTGTTCATTCACAAATTTTCTATAACAAAAATGTCTTATAACCAGGCAATAACAAATCATTTCAATCAGCATCACCATGCATAAATTGTATGAATTTCCTTGAATGATTATTTATTTTTAAACTTACTGACATGTTCATCTGATGTCTGTCTTATGTTTTTCTCCACCGTTCATGTTTCCACTCCTACTCTAGGACCCTTCGACCATTATCACAATATTGCCACAGGTCAACTTTGGGTGGATAGGATTCAAGTTTGTTTAAGTGGTATCATGAAAAAATCTTTTCTAAAGAGGAACTGAATCAGAGAAGAAGACACTTGCATGTATATGAAAGCATCCTAAATGAGTATTTATTCAAGTTTGTCCCCGGGGTAGGGTGAGGATTCAATAGTGAATCAAAGTTTCACATAAAAATGGATAGGGGAGTGCCAAGTATAAATTTGAAGCCCTTCACCTGTATATGGTGACGTCTCAATATGAGTGAAAAATTCTCGAATTCTATGTTGTAAAACAACATACAATCAATCAGTCAATCGCTTTCAGATAACTTCACAGTGTCAGTACTAAGTAGCCATATGTTTTATGCTTTTTTCAGTATGTAACTGATAGTTGTTCATTGTATCTGTAAACATTGTTAGTCCCCAGTTCCAAAATGGAATATAAATTTACATTTTCCCTTAATTTTTATAATCTTTTGCTTTATATAAAAAACAATTTCACTGTAAAATGTTTTCACAAAGAAAATTTTCCTAAAACGTATTGCATATTATATAGTGATACCTTTTGAATGATAAAAAATATAAACATTCACTTTCATTGCTTTAAACATTTAGTTCAACAACTGAGTTTGACTATAACATAGTTGAAGCTACATGCATGTATATACATTTCCTACGTTGCCATGTTCTGTTATGATTAGTAGGTAGTTTAGGTTGCTATAGACTCATTTTAATGAAAATCAACCTTGCGTTTTCATAGAAACCAATCTTTCTATGACCAATTCTTTGGAAGAAAAAAATCAAAAGATTAATTTCTCTGATGCATTGATGTCCTCAATGTTATGAGCAGAACACGAACTAGATAAGAACAATATTGAAAGCATTTTTCTGTAGATAGTATTTAGAGCTTACATTTAAGACTAGAAATTGATTTTGCAGCTTGGCCTGTCAGCTTATGACAGTGACTATCCAAATGACAAGGCTTATGCTAATGTCACCATCACCGTCAACCGTAATCCTAATGCACCAAGCTTCACCAGCCCCTCCTACAGTAAAACCATTAATGAAAGTTATCCACTGGCCGTCAGTTTGGTGCAGATAAATGGGTGGGACGCAGATAAGGTAAGCACTTTAGCAAGGTTGTAATTTCTCACTCTCGGGTCGTAAGTGAGGTTTAGGCTACTAGCACTTGCAACTTCTCTTTTGAATCATTTATATGATGATCTTTGCTTGTAAGTTTTTCTCATAAAATTAAACAATACTGTATTTTAATACTTACCAGCATGCTATTGAGTACAGACTGGAATCCAGCGATCCTGTAGAAGGCACCAATTTTTTCTACTTGAATCCAGCCACTGGACTTTTGATTGTCTCCAGACCACTCACTGAGACCATTACACGGGCCTTCACTGTACGTGTGATGAAAATAATTAACTTTTTTTAAGTCTGATGCTGAAAATATCATAATTATACCCGCACTTTCTTAAGAAGTTTGGGTATATTGTTGTTACCCCGTTCCGTCCTTTCGTCTTTCTGTCCATCTGTCACACTATTTTCTTCCTCAACTACTTCTACATTTTAAGCAGCAGCCAACTCATCTTTAGCATCTTTTGGAATATATTTGAGATGCCTTGTACACTGTACTTATGCAAAAAGTTTTTGAAATTTTCATTTTCAACCTGGGAGCCAAATGAGGATGAGAAACGATTTTTAACTCACCTGAGCTGAAAGCTCAAATGAGCATTTCTGATCACCCGTCGTCCGTCCGTCTGTAGAGCCGTCCGTCTGTAAACTTTTCACATTTTCAACTTCTTCTCAAGAACCACTGGGCCAATTTTACCCAAACTTAGTACAAAGCATCCTTAGGGGAAGGGGAGTTTAAATTGTTAAAATGAAGGGCCAAGTCACCTTCAAAGGGGAGATAATCAATAAAATGCAAAAATTGGGTGGGGTCATTAAAAAATCTTCTTCTCAAGAACCACTGGACCAGAAAAGCTGAAACTTATGTGGAAGCATCCTGGGGTAGTGTAGATTCTAAATTGTTCAAATCATGACCCCCCCCCCCCCGGGGGGGGCACAATAGGGAACCCAAGTTTTACATTGAAATATGTAGTAAAAATCTTTAAAAATCTTCTTCTCAAGAACCAGTGGGCCAGAAAGGCTGAAACTTACCTGGAAGCATCCTTGGGTAGTGAAGATTCTAAATTGATCAAATTATGACCCCCGGGGGTAGGATGGGGCCACAATAGGGAATCCAAGTTTTACATTGAAATATGTAGTAAAAATCTTTAAAAAATCTTCTTCTCAAGAACCACTGGGCCAGAAAGGCTGAAACTTACCTGGAAGCATCCTTGGGTAGTGTAGATTCTAATTATTCAAATCATGACCCTGGGGGAAGGGTGGGGCCACAATAAGTACTACAAGGGGGGGGGGGGGAGAAATCAGTTGAAAAACAGCAAGGCCAAAGTTACTCAGGTGAACGTTGTGGCCCATGGGCCTCTTGTTTTAAATACAAAAGCCTGGTTACCTGAACTCCTTTTACTTTTTTCCCAGTTTCCCAGTATCCTACGTATTTTGGAATATGATTTAGAATGTACTGATGTGTAATAAGGTTTGGAATTTTGAATTTCTCACTGGAGGGCGAATGGGAAGTAAAAAAATCCCACGTTTTCTATAAAACCCGGCTCGATAGAGCACTCGCTCCGTGAAAGGAAGGTCTTTCGGATGAGACCTTGAGGGGCAATATGAGAACCATCTATCCTTCTGTATTCAATAATCCAGAAGAAAAAAGAATTAGATAGATTACATGATCAGTACGTATTGGTCCCTGCTGACAAAGCAGGTAACAACATTGTCTTTGTTTGTAAGGCTCATTATAATAAATGTATTTTAGAGGAACTTGGATTTAATTCTACATGTGGTAATCCAACTTATACTCATAGTTCTCTTTCTAAGGAAGAAATTCTTCAAAATCATATGTCAGTTTTGAATATTTTTAATATTCCAAACAACCAAAATGAATTTGAATTACCATATCTATATTGGATTCCGAAACTTCATAAAATCCTTACAAACAAAGATACATAGAGGGTTCAAGTAAATGTTCAACCAAGTCTCTTTCTTTACTCCTCACTAAGATATTAACAGTAGTGAAAGGGAAACTTCAAGAGTACTGTGCAACAATATATTCGAGAAGTGGTGTAAATCAGATGTGGATACTTAAAAATTCCAAGGAACTTTTGGAAAATTTGAAATCCCAAAATTTATTGAAAACAACAGCTTAAAAACTTACGACTTTTCAACTTTATACACAAGCATTCCCCACGATAAATTAAAATCCAGGCTTTTTGATAAGATTAACAGCTGCTTTTTCAATAAAAATGGAACTCGTAAATTTACTTACCTTGTCATTGGTCATTTGCAAAATTATTTTGTTAAAAAACATTCTGATTGTACACACAAGTACTCTGAAGTTGACATTAAAAAGATGCTTGAGTTTATGATTGACAATATCTATGTGGTTTTTAGAGACTAGGTCTTCCAATAATCTATTGGAATTCCCATGGGTACCAATTTTGCCCCGTTATTAGCAGACCTTTTTTGTATTCATGTGAAGCAGAATTTGTCCGAAATCTTACACGTGAAAAGAAGAAAACACTTGCTGTGGCCTTCAACTGGATATTCAGATATATCGGTATCATTTAGATATAACAATGGTTATTTCCATTCTTATGTCGATAAGATATATCCCGGAGACCTTGAGATAAAAGATACTACAGAGTCTGACACATCTGTTTCACATTTGGATATTTTACTTGAAAAAAATGTTAATGGTAATCTAACAACCAAGCTTTATGATAAACGTAATGACTTTAACTTTTCAATCGTCAACTTCCCTTACTTTGCAGCAATATACCTTCATCACATGCATGCAGGGTTTATATCTCTCAGTTGATTCAATACGCAAGAGCATGCTCTACGTATGTACAATTTCTAAAATGAGGTAAATTATTGATAAACAAGTTGATGAAACAAGAATATCAGCAGTCTCGTTTAAAGTCATCATTTCGTAAGTTTTATGATCGATACAATGACCTTGTCAGCAAATACAATTTATCATTGAGTCAAATGCTGACTGACGTTTTTCATACTAATTATTAGGCCAATATTTACACACTGAATTGTCGACGGATTTTTCCGTTATTTCCCGATCATGACAAGGAGCACACGGCGGGTGTGACCGGTCGGCAGGGGATGCTCACTCCTACATGGCACCTGATCCCACCTCTGGCGTTTTGGAGGTCCGTGTTTGCTCTGCACCTATTTTGTAATGTTTAATGGACTTTTGAGCTTGAATACTGTTCGTTATCTCCATATATTTCACTTAAAAACCGAGGCCCCGTGTAATGGTAGGCGTTGGTACGATAAAGAACCCTCACTGCTCAATGGCCCTGAGTGCCAAGTAAAGGTCTAAATTTGAAGCCCTTTACCGGTATATGGTGACGTCTCTATATGAGGGAAAAATTCTCGAACTTAAAACAACATACAATCAATCAATCTATAAAACCCGGTTCCCTGAACTCCTCTTACAGTTTACTCAGTAGCCCAGTTACTTTTTAAAATGCGATTGAGAGGGTCATGTAGATGTGAAAGAGGTTTTTGAATATCTATATTCATCCTTAGGAGGGGCGATCAGGCGATGAAAAATAATGTTTTTCTACAAAAACCCTGGTTCCCTGAATTCCTCTTACAGTTTTTGCAGTAGCCAATTGATCTTTTGAAATACGATTGGGGGAGTCCTGTAGATGTGTAATAAGGTTTCTAGATTTCGATGTCCCCCTACCCCCACGAACATAGGCTCTTGGGATGTTAAAAAAATGTTTTTCTAGGTAAACCTGGATGCCAGAACTCCTCCTACATTTTTGCAGTAGCCCATTCATCTTTTGGAATATGATTGGAGTGTAATAAATGCCATAGATTTTAAAAATTTTCATTACATTTATCAGCCGGAGGGGGTCGATTAGGGGAAAAATGTTTTCCTACAAAACATGTTTCCTGAACTTCTCACATTGTTTTTGCGGTAGCCCATTCATATTTTGGATTATGATTGGGAGTGCCCTGTAGATATGCAATAAAGTTTTGCAATTTTGATGTACACCCTGGGGGAGATTAGGGGTTGTAAAAAAACGTTTTTGTACAAATACCTGGCTCCCTGAACTCCTCTTACATTTTTCGCAGTAGCTTATTCATCTTCTAGAATATGACTGAGAGTGGCCTGAAGATATGCATTAAGTTTTCGAAATTTGATTTTCACAAGGGGAGAGGGGAATGGAAGTCAAATAAACGACTTTTTTTTACGAAAATCTGGTTGCCTGAACTCCAATAGGCAACTCATATTTTCGTTCATATAATTGGGAGTATCCTGAAGATGTGCAATAATGCTTTGGGATTTCGATGTTTTGGGGTGGGAGATAGGGACTCAAAAAACAAATGTTTTCCTAACAACAAGAGGCCCATGGCCCACATCGCTCACCTGAGTAACTTTGGCCATGCTGTTCTTTATCAAATTTCCCCCCTTGTAATACCTATTGTGGCCCCGCCCTACCCCGGGGGGCATTATTTGAACAATTTAGAATCTACACTACCCCAGGATGCTTCCAAATAAGTTTCAGCTTTTCTGGTCCAGTGGTTCTTGAAAAGAAGATTTTTTAAGATTTTCTTATATATTTCAATGTAAAACTTGGATTCCCTATTGCAGTCCCGCCCTACACATGGGGCTCATGATTTGAACAATGGATGCTTCCACTTAAGTTTCAGTTTTCTGGCCCAGTGGTTCTTGAGAAGAAGATTTTAAAAGATTTTTTTCTATATATTTCAATGTAAAACTTGGATTCCCTATTGTGGCCCCGCCCTACCCCCGGGGGTCATGATTTGAACAATTTAGAATCTACACTACCCCAGGATGCTTCCACTTAAGTTTCAGCTTTTCTGGCCCAGTGGTTCTTGAGAAGAAGATTTTTAAAGATTTTTCCTATATATTTCAATGTAAAACTTGGATTCCCTATTGTGGCCCCGCCCTACCCCCGGGGGTCATGATTTGAACAATTTAGAATCTACACTACCCAAGGATGCTTCAATGTAAGTTTCAGCTTTTCTGGCCCAGTGGTTCTTGAGAAGAAGATTTTAAAAGATTTTTCCTATATATTTCAATGTAAAAATTGGATTCCCTTTTGTGGCCCCGCCCTACCCTCGGGGGTCAAGATTTGAACAATTTAGATTCTACACTACCCCAAGATGCTTCCATATAAGTTTCAGCTTTTCTTGCTCAGTGGTTCTTGAGAAGAAGATTTTTAAAGGTTTTTCCTATATATTTCAATGTAAAACTTGGATTCCCCATTGTGGCCCCGCCCTACCCCTGGGGGTCATGATTGAAACAATTTAGAATCTACACTACCCCAGGATGCTTCCACATAAGATTCAGTTTTTCTGGCCCAGTGGTTCTTGAGAAGAAGATTTTTTAATGACCCCACCCAATTTTTGTATTTTCTTGATTATCTCCCCTTTGAAGGGGACTTGGTCCTTCATTTTAACAATTTAAACTCCCCTTCACCCAAGGATGCTTTGTACCAAGTTTGGTTAAAATTGGCCCAGTGGTTCTTGAGCAGAAGTCCAAAATGTGAAAAATTGACAGACGGACGGACGGACGACGGACAACGGGTGATCAGAAAAGCTCACTTGAGCTTTCAGCTCAGGTGAGCTAAAAAGTGGTTCTCTGAACTTCTCTTTCATTTTTGGCTGTGGCTAAATTATCTTTTGGAATATAATTGATTGTGTCCTGTAGATAAGCAATAGAGTTTTAGAATTCTCATACCAGTACACCATATGCAACCCAATGCGTACGGTAAAAGTAGTATCAGGCTTATGTATATCAGGCGCGGATCTCGAAATTTTCCAGAGGCGTTCATGTACTTAAACTTCTATTCCAAACGCTTGTTTTGCATACCTTTGTGTAATCTATTCCAAATATGCCATGGAAACAGGTAAATTGGGGGTGGGGGTTGATTTGGGCAAAGTGTGCATGGATTTCGAAAAAGGGTTCTCTCCACACAAATACTGATATAATTTTAATACTATCCAAAATTTTTAAAAACTATGAAAATCTCTATGGAATAGAATAATATATCTTTTTTGTGTTGACAACAATTAAACGCCTTCCAAGTATGGGCTAAACCTAATCGCCACCTCACCTCAATTTTTTGGTCACCTGAGTCACTCAGATGACCTATTGCCATCTGTTTTTGTCCGTCGACATCCGTTGTGCGTTAACATTTAAACATTTTCTTTTTTTTTGGAACCGCTAAACCAGTTTCAACCAATTTTGATGTATAGCATCTATGGGAAAAGAGCAAAATTTGTGAAATTCTTGGCTCCCACCCATTTTGGGCATAATGGGTGGATGTAAAACTATTAAAATTAATTCAATCTTTAAAAATCTTATTACTGCTTGACACCAAGAAGTCAAACTGTTGGCATTGAGCTCTGTATCAAAATTGTGAAATTCAGGGGTTATTGAGTTAGGGTTGGGCTCTATTGATTATATAGTGAATATGCATTAATTCACCAAAAATCTTCTTTTCTGCTCCTGTGTATTAAGAAACAAACTAAAAACATTGTTATGATGAGCAGATGTGCTTCTTTTAAAATTGTGAATTTGATGGTCCCACTGGGTCAGAGGTTCTTGTGGAACGGGGGTTGATTATATAGTAAAAATGCATCAATTCTTTAAAAATCTTCTTCTATGCTCCTTGGGTATTATGCTATCAAAAAAAAAATCATGGATATTATGAGTAGGAGTGTTGCCTCTTCCAAAATTATTAATATTACGCCCCCTGGGTTAGGGTTGAGGTGTTATGGCGGTGATCTATTGAAATCATGTGAATATGTGTTGCTAATTTCTTTCAAAGCCTTCTGTGCTAAGTGCATGGTTTTAATGAGCAAGGGTGCCTCTTTCAAAAATTGGCAATTTCAAGGCCCATGGATTTAGGAATCTGGTGTTAGGATGGGGCTCTGTTGATTAAATTGAAAATTATAATTTCTTTGAAAATTTTCTTCTCTGCTCCCCGCTATTAAGCAAACAAACTAAGTGCATTGTTATGATAGGGTGTCCCTTTCCGAAATTGTGAATTCCATAGCACCAGGCTCAATGGTTCTTGTGTTAGGGCGGGGCTCACTGCTTTATTGATTTTTAGTGAAAATTCGTTAATTCATTGAAAATCCTCCTCTCTGCTTCTAGGTTATTTACAGATAAATTAAGTCCTTGGTTATGATGAGGCAGGGTGCCAAATCCAAAATTGTGAAATTCATTGCTCTTTGGTCAGAGATTTTGATGTTAGAGCGGGACTCTATCAACTACCCGGTATTTAATACTTTGCAATCTTCTCTGCTCTTGGGCATCGAGGAGGCAAACGGAGTACAACTCTGTGTTGACCACTGATTTAAGTGAAATAGTGATGAGCAGAGCTCTATTGATTTTGTAGGGATATTTTTACTCAACAAAGGGAAAGTTTTACCTTTTGTCATTGCGTATCACTGTAAATAATATAACTGATAGATCAATGTAATAAAAGAATTAAACAAAAACTTTTAATGTATATTACAAAAAGTTATTAATGGTTTGAATTGCTAGGTAGACCTGTAAAAAATGGATGAATAAAAATGAGACTGGTGATGAATTTATTGTATAGAAAACTTATATGAGAGGCCAATGGGCCACAGACTCACTTGAGAGTTCATATTTCATACATATATATTTTGTGTAAATTATACAACTATTGTTGCTTCTTTCCTGCTCACTCAAATATGAAGGGGGCATATTTAGAGGCAACCACCTATGTTTGGATATTACTGATTTAGACAGCGTGTAGTCTAGTAATCTAGTGTAGGATTGCTGCTAACTAGCGCTTTATTCTTTTATGAACATAAAGAGACATATATAGCAAAGGAATAAGTAAAAGTACATGTAAGTTTTAAAATGTATAAGTAGTAAGGCATCTTCCTGTACATTTGTCCTCTGTCAGCACAAAAATGACACCGATTTTACATTCTTTAGCTTCAAGTTCGTTTGAGAGACAACGGTATTCCACCAAGATCTTCAACAGTTGCTGCTCCTGTAACAATAAAAGTTACAAGGAATGACCATGCTCCGAGTTTTGCTGGGCCTTTTGTAACTAGTATTGCTGAAACAGCGGCTATTAATGTGTACGTTCTAATAGTTACTGCAACAGATGGAGATTCAAACGTAAGATTTCTGATCACAGGAAGATATTGGAATGAATTGACACTGGTATCTTGAAAAATATACATGTAGAGGACTTTCTGTTGCTATATTGAGATATGATTGCAATATACTAGATACATGTAATAAATATTTCATAAAATTTATTCACCCCCCCCCCCCCCAATGAAACTGTATTTATGTGTCTGTTACAACATTAGCGATTAAAAGGGAAATATATTTCAAGATTCATTCAAGTGTCCATCTAATCTACAGTCTCGTTCCTAATTAAAAATCACAAAACGGCTGAAGTGCAGAGCTGAAATGTGCTTTAATTGTTTTTGGCCATATATCTCTAAATATAATGAAGGTACTTACCCCAAAACTTCAGTACTTAGTGATAAATCCTTTGACTGCCAAAATACAATCCCAATTTCTAAATCATTGTCAATCAGGTCCTGTCTAGTTTTTTATTTGAGAAATCCGTTTTTGAAGTTTATTTTCAGAGTTCTCCAAACATTTTTGATAATGTTAATATCTGAATATTGTTGGGGCCAATTTATGGTGTTGATGCCATTTTCAGTTTTCCACGTACAAGTCTCTCTAGATGTATATACTGGTGCATTATCTTCCTAAAAGATATATAATCTGTTCTGCTAATATTTAGCAATAACTGGCCAAAGACTTGCATCAAGAATTTCAGCTTACTTTCCGAAATTAATTTTTCCCTCTTTGGGCATTAACGTGCCAACGGCACCATGAGTAAGATACCCCTAACACAAAACAATTAGCTGTGGAGTCTGGTGGTCAATGTAAATTCCAAGATAGTATGGTTTCCATTTTTCCTTTTTTCCCCTCCAAACAAAAACTTTCCTGTTTTTTTTCCTAGAACAATTTATGTTCCACCGGAGAATATCACTCGGGACCAATTACGATTAGCAGTTCAGTGTAAATGAGATCGGCAAAAGATTCGGCGCTTCAGTCTATTCTGCTTTGAAATGGTGGTTGGCTTCTTCACAACTCTCCTGTGATACTCATTTTCATGTAATCCTCTTCTGAACTGTGCGTTTTGATAGTTGATTCATTTAGAATGCATTTAATTATGTTCTTTAATGATGACTGCCAGGGGCAAGATAGAACAAGATAGGAGCATCTTTGTGAAACATCATGCCTCAACAGTCTAGATAAATTTTCATGGTAGCTAACTTGATTTGACTGAGTTTTACTTGGCAGTGATTGTTACCTGTATCATTATCGTGACTAAATGCATACTTTCTATATTATCAGATGGTTCAAAAGTTATGGCTCAGTGAAGTCAAATGTACAGAGAGAGAACAAAACAGTCATAGACCAATCATATACTCATTTGTTCTCGTGAAGCACAAAGAAAACCTATTTCTATCATGTTTATTAAAAGAATTTCAATAAATTCTTTAGTTTACTATTTGCCAAGCGCCCGGCATTAGAAGTGAAAGTCACGGGTCTTTCGGATGAGACCTTAAAAACGTAGGTCCCGTGTCACGGTAGGCGTTGGCACAATAAAGAACCCTCACTACTCAATGGCCCTGTGTGCCGAGCATAGGTTTAAATTTGAAGTCCTTCACCGGCATACGGTGACGACACTATATGAGTGAAAAATTCTCGATTAAGACGTTAAACTATATACAATCATTTCGTCTTGTTTGCCTTACACAAGTGTATGCCAAAACCCATTAACTCTAAACTTAATAAAAATCAAATTTTCTGTGGGGAATCTACCTAATATATTATACAAACATGATTAGTGATTAAAACTAATTCGTAAAACTGTAAAAATAAAGTTCCAATTGCAATTTATTGTCAAAGCACCATACCGTAAAATAACATAGGTACAATATACTGTTAAATAATTTCAGCTGAAAGGCAAATGTAAACATCTTACTATTTTAAGTAAACTAAACATAGCTTTCTTCCTTGCTGAAGAAGCTGTTTTATTACTAACAAAAGATTCATTATTAGAAAAAGTTATACCTTAGAAAACAAATTCATCAACAACAGAAAAGTTTTTCTGAACATAAGTAAAGACTGTATATGAATTGTCAGGTGTATTAAAAATAATAACCTTTGTTTTAGTTGCATTACCTTGCATTCAAGTTTTACAATGCAAGAACATTGCATTAAAACAGCTTGAAATTAAGGTGCTGACTCTGCCAAAATTACACTATCATCAGCATCAAGCAACAAGTTTCAAAAATATGTCTACCTCCTCTGTACTAAGCAGAAAATGTACAACTTTTGTAACATATGTTAAACCATCATATGCCCTAGAAATAAAATCGAAAAGGTCATTCAAAAATATCGAAAACAGGACAGGTGGTAACTTTCACCTTGACATACGCCGACATTAAAAAATACCCTGACAGATTGCGAAACAGGACAGGTGGTAACTTCTCACCTTGACATACGCCAACATTAAAAAATATCCTGACAGATTGCTACATGTTCCCTGGCTCCCGATACATTACTACTAGTTTGCATTATTATATATGCTAGAAACAACTTTTTTGAAAAAATTTCATCAATACTATGATGTACTAGTATTTGCTATAGAGCTATCCTGTTAACAGAGTCAAATGCCTTTTTATAATTATTGAGTGCACAATATAATCGTTTTGCGTTGTAAATAAAAATCAAATTATCACGTCAAATATAAAATATTACGACAATTTTTTTTACCCAGGGTCTCCACATCTGAAAATTTAACCATGGAAAAAGCTGTGTGAAGGCGAAAAGTGATCGCAAGCACAAATGCGTGTTCAACTTTCTAAGCTTCATTATTCAATGATTGATTTCAGAAAACCTTTTCCATTGCAACACAAAAAGTTTACATAACAATTTTTTTAATAACACCCCCCCCCCAAAAAAAAAATAAAAGGATTATGTATCCTAGTTTACTCTTTAAATGTACCAAGGTTAATCATAATTGGACCAAAACTTAGGAGCATTATAAAAGAATCTTCATAGAATTTTTTTTATTTCTGTATGACAAGTTTTATTTAAATAGGACCAAAACTAATGTAGGAGTAGTATTGTGAAGAAAGGATTTACAGACACACAAACGAACAGTTGAACAAACAACGACATCTTAACTTTGCCTGAGCGTTTAAGTGCATATACGAGTATGTATGGTCTTTGAAAACTTACTGCTGGTTAATATTGTATAAGTATCAAAACTTAATATAACCAGGGGGTAAATTTGATATAACTGTAAGTTTGCTCTCTCTATTCTGTTCTTTCTAAACGTTAAATTTTTCTACTCTGCATTTCTCGCCGATTTTCCTCCATTGTTTACCTCTCCACGTACCCGTGCTAAAAATAGCGCCACGCGAATTTTTCTTTAAAAACGGGCGGTAACTCTGAAACTTAGACTCCGTGTACATTTTTTTTCGTAAAGATAAAAGAAATACGTATTATATAAAAACAAAGCAAGGTGAATTGATTAAAGGCAAGGGAAAAAGAAATTTGATAGGATGAATTCTTTCCGGCAGGGACTTATATACTAATTATTGTATATAGGTCCCTGTTTCTGGCCAACGAAACTTGATTCGGATGTTTGTCGATTATCACGCAAGACATCGTAAACGTTGCGTTACTGCGCTGGGTTTTTTTTATTTTTCGTAAATCTTTATTATATGGTTAACATATTGGATTTCTCCCAAATTATATGTGTACAGGAAAATTAACTCCCATGATAATGACAGATTGTCACGCTTCACAGCATATTCGCCGATCACAGTGGATAAAAAAAAAGCATAAACACAACTACTCAAATTATTAGAACAGGCTGTAGAAAGTAGTTGTCAACATTACTGAAATTCTATAAATATTCAATCGTAGCGGCCGCCGATTTGGACCATGGCGTAGCTCGTTTAATCATGGCGCACATTTTAACCATGATGGCGTGCCGCCATGGTAAACCCCCTTTTGGAGAACCTGACTTACCTCCCTTTGATCAGTCATTAGATGACCACCAAATTTATGCCTTATTCCGGATCAAAGCATCTCAACATTAGTAAAACTTGGAAATTGAAATGCAGGTCTATGATACTTGACAGCTGAGTCAGTCATATTGTGACTTTTAATTTGGCACTTGAGTGTACAACTGTAAAAAGCTGTTGTTTCCACCTATTCGCCGAACTATCCAATCACTTTGCTCAGAAAATGTATTTTTACATATTTTTACAAATAATGTAGCTGATAGTATATTGAAGTTGACTTTTGTAAGACAGATTTATTTAATACTGTTTGCAATGTTAATAATATATTTTGGTCGAACACATTAAATGATAAACAAAACTGAATTCCATAGAGAAGAAACAGATATACGAAGAAATGCAACAGTCAGTCAGCTCTTGTATACATGTAGTTTTGTGCAAATCAGACATCAAATCAAGGGAAGTAAAATTGTTCTATTGTATGTATGCATAGTACCATTTAATAACACTTTTTATTACATTTTCAATAATGAAATACTGTGATTTATTCATTGAATAAAAGTAGTATGTTTTCACAGTGTGAAATGATACCAAAATGATATTTTGTCACAGAGTGAAAGGATATCAAAATAAGTAAAAATGATTTCTGGCCTGTCATAAGATAGAGATAGTAATTAAATCATCTTGATAGAGACTAAAACTTTCCTCCCAAACATATTGCTAAAATCCATGTAACGTTTTCAATCTCACAATTGCTAAGCTACGACGTCTCAACCGCTCAACTGTGACGTCACAGTATATAAAAGACTGAGGCAAAGAGAAATCAAAGAAATGTAATAAACAGAAAATTCAACGTTTTGTAATTGGATATGGAGATTATTTCATTCATGAGACAGGATCTTTTTGATATTTTCAATCGTGCTTCGCACTCGTGAAAATAAAAAAAAAATTCCTGTTCCACTCGTGAAATAAATTCCATATTCAACAACAAAACATTGAATATCCTCTATATGTATGTACAGTGCTTTTCTACGTATTTACTGTTCTTCATCCGGTGTAAAGACGAATAATGACTCACATAGAACAATGACCGGGGGTCATTTTTCAACGACAAAAAACGACCACCAGCCATAGTAAATTTTTTTTTTTTTTATAGAAAAAGAGCCCCAGGGGTCAATTTTTTGTGTGTGCGTCCTTTAAAAATTGACCTCCTTTGAGAAATGACCCCTTTTCCAATAGAGTGATATAAAATTTATAACAGGGGATTGATGCCAATGTTTGAACTGTGTGTTTTGCTTATTTTAAGTCCGATTCTCTCACTGTGCTTGGCTACGACTTGAGCAAATGGAAACAAGTAACTTGACATGTCTGCTTAATCATTTTGTATCAATTTTGAATCATATAATAAAACAATTATTGCTGGGTTTTTTTTTTTTTTTTTTTTTTTTTTTTTTTTTTGTCATTACGATGATTTTCCACCATCGAAAAACAATGTTCACCTTGCCCTTTCGGCTCGATAAATCTTTTACTCTTCTAGATTTTGAATCATCGCATTGACCTTAGAAAGGCAATAATTGTAGAATGTAATGAGATCAACATATCATCGATTTATCCCAAATTTAGCTTAGGTTAGCATTTTGGCCAACAGGTCTCTTGATTTATTTTTTTTTTTTTTGTCCCCTAAAAATTTCAACTTTAATCCACAAGGGGACATTATTCTACGGGGGTCATTTTTCTTCTCATAGGGTATGCAGATTTTTAGGGTGATGACACTTTCCCTAGGGGCAAAAGGGTCATTTTTCGACGTCGAATAATGACCGGGGGTCATTTTTCACCGTTGAATAAATGAATCATGGTATTCTCTGTGAACATAAATCATAGTTTAAGCAAACCTCTTTAAAATGGAATCACGTTTACTTGGAATTTTAATATTGTTTTTTTTTTTTTTTACAAGATATCGCCATATGGACAACTAAGATATAAATTAATAGGAGATGGGGATTTCCAGCAATTCTTCAGTATTAATGCAAACAATGGATATATCAAACTTCAGCGGTCGTTGACCTTACAAGATGTGAACTCCTATCAGGTAATAATATTTAAGTTCTAATTGTTTCAATTATATTTAGAAAGATCCTGTTTTACGAGAAATTGTTTCTGTCATTGTTGCTGTGAGAGGTAATGTAACACGCAACAGATTCACTATTATAACCAACTCAAAACATCTCTTAGAAAAATGTATGTAAACAAGAAGAATTTCCTCCTTAGCCACATTTCAAATTATTAAGTTTCATTCATAATTTAAGAGGAGCAATAATTATACCTTATTTTAATTACTAGATCTTTAAAACACCTCTTTTGCAACATTATTTCGGTATTGAAAGTCCAAGATGAGCTTTAATAATTTTTTAAAATATTTTTTCTTCCTTTATTCTCTTGTATTTTTCGGAGAAAATGTAAATATATATTGTTTTGGCTGCAGAAAAGACAGTTTAGAGCTCAAGATTTGCTGTTGATTTAAGCATTATATCTGAAAAACATATTGTAATGGCCATGGAGTAGAATTTAATTAATTAGTTTATTTTTTATATGACTGAAATGTGTTATCATTTATTGGGAGTATTATCAGGGTGGACTTCATTACGCATAAACTACACTGCTATCTGAATAATAACAGAACGTGGTATCGTCTATTTATAGCACATTTGACATATTTGTTGCATTCATTTATACAGGAAATCCTCCATCCTATGAATTGAAGTACATACCTTTAAAACCTTTCCATGTTACTGTATTTTTCAAAATTATATTTGAATTAAATACGTGCCTAACATTGCCACAAGTGCACACGATTGCAGGAGTCATGGAAGTTGTTTACATCCCGCCGACATCTTATTTGTGTTAGCCATAGTTTCGTATTTGAACAAGTTCTACTTTTTCATGCAATTCGATGTTATAATTGTTTGTGAATATCCACAAAATTGATGTTTGAAGATGTTTTACTAAGATTTATCAGCGGTTTTACTTTAAACGGGATTTAATAGTAGTTACACATTTTTATTATGTCAGAGCTATTTGAATATCGTCTGCTGTACGATTGCAGTTTTCTATCATGAAATATACGTTTAATTCACATGAAATGCTTACTTACAGTTGATGAAAACATCCTCCAGATCCATATCATATTATTTATTATTGCAAATGTAAATATTAATTCCGTTTTGTAGCTGTAATCCACATTGTACGGCAGCCTTGTTTGACGTTGTTTGGCACTGTTTGACAGATCTCTGTTTGTACGGCGCCGTACAATGCTGTGATTGGTCGAGCGTCACCGTACAGCTTTTTCATTCGTTAATTTGTGTCACATGACTACTTCAGAAACTTATAAATATAAGCGCCTCGCCAGTTTATGGCAGATAAGTTGCAGCAGCAGCATCCAAATTCTAAATTCTAGGTGAGGAAAAACTGCCAATTATCTCCCAACACACTGGACACCTGATATTTGATATTTAGAGCTTTTAAATTCCAAATCAACTTTTCTACCCCTTTTACCCTTGAAAGTACGGTTGACGCCACAGACCATAACAAATATTACTTGATATATCTATATGTATCCAATATAGACTTTTGTTTACCATACTATCCTTTCCTGTTGTAAGATGAATTAATAAACCAATATTTGAACTGATACCAAGCTTTGTCCTTACTGAGAATCATGAACCAAGAATATAGGAGTGACCTTGAGAAATGTTGTATAAGTACATTGTATGCCCCCCCCCCCCCATTTCAGGATGGCCATCCGTGGGGAGCTTACAATATCAATCAGAATCAGATGGAGTCGGACATATATTTTACTTCTTTTAAATTGAAAAAAAAAAATGAAAAGATATTTACTGTAATTAATTTTTATGCATTTAAATTTATGAATAAAATATTTAAAAAATGCCAGTGGTAGAAAATAAATATTTCAAAAGAAGTTTAAATTGCTAAAAATAAATGTTAATTTTCAAATTTAAAATAATCCCGATTGATATAAAACGTTATCAATCAGAAAAAATTGGAAAATTAATTAAATTTTTAAAGCAAATTTATTTCTCAGTGGCAACTTCAAAAGATAAGAGCAGAATTTTGTGTCTATTTTTCAAGTCAAATATATGATTTTGTATAAACAAGCAAATTCAATGAATTTTGGTTTATCACTTTCGGTGTCTTTGAGGATGGGATGCCATAATTTATGGCATATTGTAACTGTCTTGTTTGTGTGTCCTGTATTCTCTATGCATCATACAAAAAGACATAAAATATTGAATTAATAAGTTATGGCAAAAATTATAACATTTGGAATACATTTGGAAATGCTTGTCATAGGTAATGCATGTGTCAATGAAAGTCCTGTCTTTTATCATTCAAATTTTATGACCAATTTAAAGTAATGTTAAAAGTTTTGAAAAGTAGGTCAAACTTCAAGGTCAAGGGGTAAAAAATCATAATATATCTGGAAAGGTCTTGTCACAGGTAATGTACATTTGATATATGAAAGCTCTATCTCTTCTCATTCAAAAGTTATGAGCAAGTTAAAGTTTTTGTGACAGACTGACTGACAGACGAATGAAATTTAATGTCCCCTCGCTTTCACGAAAGCGGGAGACATTGAATAATGTTTTAGTGGGTGGATTGGCTGTGAGGGTAATCAAACTCTATAACTGTTGAACAGTTATTAATTTACACCCGGAAAATAGAATATATATTGTTGGATTTCCTCGGAGAAATGTTTCCTTTGGGGAAATATTACTCTAGAGCAAGTTTTCCAGAGAAAAAAGATTTAAGAGGAGAAATCCTCCGTTACAAGACCGGTAATCATTTAAGAGTTGTAATTAGAAAATGAACTACTTTTTGACAGGGTCGCATTGTGGCGGAGGACGGAGGTTCTCCTGCACGATCAGCCACCACCATAGTAACCATCAACATCCGAAGAAATCTTAATCCTCCAGTATTTAGCCAAAGGGATTATAACGTCAGTGTATCTCAGATTACACCAGTTGGAGTGAATGTTATTGCTGTCACCGCCACGGATGCTGATCTGAATGTACTGTTGAATCATTTTAATTCATATGGGTCAATGTTCGTGTGTAAGAAAAAATTTACTTATTCGTGGGGACGTAATTTCTTAGGTTACTCGTTCATACAGAAGATTCAATGAATCAATATGTTTAAAATAAACGTTCATGGGGATGTAAATTCGTCGGTAAGGGTGACCCACGAAATCCACGAACATTGGTCCACCACGAACAATAAAGATTCCACAGTAATTATTTGGAAGCCCTTTTTGGTGTTTACTGAAAATTTCCAACTAAAGGGTTATAAAGACGTTTTCAGATCAATACGAGGGTTGTCTCAGAAAAGCGAATCATTTTCAACATTTTTTGTTTCACTTAAACCATGAAGTTAAGAATTTTTGTTTTGAACAAATTTTATTAACAATATGTCAAAGGGATTAAACACAAGTTCTAAAAACTTAGATAGTCCTCTCCCATAAGAATTGGCATTAGAAATTTTAAATTTAATTTTATTTTAATATCTCTTTAAATACTAGTAACATTTTCCTATTCTGACTTAAAAGCACTCGGCGCAACACCGACGACGTCAAAACTTAAACTTAGTTATGGCGTTTGTAAATTTTTCAGGAATTGTGCGTCTTTTCCTTAAAATGAAAAAGAAATTCAGCTGACGTAGAAATTCGTCACTACGTATGATATTCAGGTAGTATTCGAGATACCAATCTTGGATATACTAAAGTCGTCGAAAGATCCTGAAATTAATTCTGTGAATAGACCATTCCCTAACCCCAATCATGATCGAAACTTCTTCGGACAGAGGTCTCCAGCTCCAGATCTTTTTGTTGTCGTCATTTACGTACGTCTATCAAACGCCTCTTCTGTAGAATAATCAGTCAAGTGATCCTTGAACTTTTTCATGTGTAAACCAGTATCAGAGACTCGCTTTGGTGCCGTTTCAATTTTTACATTAATTTGAATATAGTTCAAACCTTTCTAAAAAGAAGCCAGAGAGATATTTTTATGCAAACAATTTTGAACAGAAACATTAATTTTACAAGATTTTACAATCAACTAAAGTTTTTGGTCTTAGTCGTAAGTTCTTTTGTTAAACGAGACCCTGTACATTAGAGGGTAATGTAAGTGTCCTAATAAATCTATCTATTGCAAGGGCATACCGTCAATGGATCATAGTAAGCTTTTACACATAAATTCTAGTAGTATTGAGCTATTTGAAAAGTGCTCCGATCCTGGTGAAATCTTAAAAATGAATTAATTATTTCTATATTTAATGCAGTTGACCAGCAAAAAATAATTCAGCATGCAGACTTACAAGTATGATTATAACAATGAAATAGAAGAATCTCTATAGGATCGCAGCACTTTTCACAAACTACAATGGTTATTGAAAATATTTATAAGCCACAGTTAGAATTTTAACTTGGTTATGACCTTGCACTATTGAAATTAATAGGTAGCCTTAATTGCAGAATCCAGTGACTGCCATTTCACGTGACAAGTTTTAATGGAAAATATAGTCGTCCTCAATCTGTAGTTATTAACCATAGTTTTAAAAAAAGAACTTACGACTAAGACAAAAAAAAAACTCAGCTTAGTGTAAAATCTGGCAAAAATTGATTATTCTAATAAGAAATACTCTCATATAAATATGCCTGAGAACCCCTTTAAAAGACGATAAATACCATTTTCAATTAATGTAAAGAAGAAAATTATTGATTTTGCAAAATAACATTTTGGTCTTAGTCGTAAGCTCTTTTGTAAAACGGGGCCATGGTTAATAAGTTTTAATAATTATTATATGTACGATATTAGTAACGTACTAAGAGAATGGTCATCCTGATTAAAGATTTGCATTTTTATCACGAAAAAAAATCGCCGATATTTTCATTCCACAATGTTAATTGTATTGTGTATTTAAACGGAAGATATTTTTATTCAAAGATTTCCACCTGAGTGTTTTGCTAAGAATTCGTAGAATAATTCACTTTTAACCAATTCAGATCCTTCGCTCTGTATTTTGAATGTTTTTCCTCAATTATTTCAGAAGCCAAATAATGAAATCGCATACGAAATGACAGATACCACACCAAATCTGAATGGAGCTGGTTTGAACTTCTTCGGCATAAGATCTGAGAAAAACAGAGGCATAATATACATTGTTCTGCCCTTGTATACTGACAATCAAGACACACCGGTGTACACGGTTTGTATTCTTAAAAAGTTATTCAGAGTTGTGTGCAGGGAAACTATATATACCATATTCTGTTAAGTCTGAACACCACAGAGTCTGACACATCTATTCTATATTTGGATGTTTTACTGACTTTAGGCGGCAACGGTCAACTAATAACTAATCTGTATGACAAATGCAATGACATCCCCAACCGGTCCATAAAATACCTGGCAGTCTACCTATGTATTAGTAGTCCTCTATCACCTGCATAAGGTCCCCTTTTTTTTAATCGAGGCAGACTACTGACAAATAAGTTTATGTCACAGGGATTTCAACAGCCTCGTTTACATTCAGCGTTTTGTAAATTCTTTTTCGTTATAGTGATTTTATTTGCAAAATAATGAAATCAATCACAGGGTCATATTTTGATTGAAATATTTTATACCAATTTTTTTCATACTTTATTTGATTATGGATTACTCCGTCTATCTGAACAAGATATAGGACCAATGGTGGTTAGAAAAGGGATGCTAGCTTCTTCTTGACACCTGATCCAACCTCTGAAATTTCCAAGGGTCCGTTGTTAATGTCTTCTTCAGATTTGTATTGTTCGTTTGTTTGTTTTCTATTTTAAGATCGATCACTGTTTGATATTTTCACCCTTTTTATTCTTGAAATATTTCCTATGCAACAGAGTGAGTTTTTAGTATTCATTGAGAAATTTAAGGCTTTTATTTTTACATTCATGAAAATATTGCTTTAGTTTCACTGCTTGAATGAAAAATCTTTTCCTTTCAGTTTTCCGTTTTGGCTCTTGACCAAGGAAATCCCCAAATGGTGGATCGAGCTACAGTGCGAATCTTTGTGAACAGAAACTTATTTCCACCTGTCTTCCAAGGAACACCTTGCAATGCTACTCTGAATTTCAACAGCACCAGAGGTACTGTGATATTTATACTTTTTATTTCATAGGATATCAATTTTAATATATCTACATTAAATTTTACAAATAATTTTCTTAGATGAACCTGTTGAAGAGAAAATATGTTCAATTCTGTATGAACTTATTACGGGGTCAGAGATCATAGCGTGACCGAATCACAAGGCGAGATATCTTGCCTACATATTTCTGTCACTGTGAAACTGGTTTCGGAACGTCCAGCGTGATCACTGTTGATAGTGATGACAAAGATAAATTCACACCTATGGATATTTTTTCAACCAACTGATGTCCGTTAAATTTTCCTTCAATGTGATGAATGGTTTGAATATTAATCAAAATCGCGCTACCTTTTTAACCCTAAATTCCTTTGAAGGTATATAAACTGAAACATACGTTTTACTCAGCATATATAAAGAACTCACAAAACAGTAAGATTATTTTCAATATCGATCATTGTACATGTTCTATAATTATGGACAGAGATTTCCTGAACTTGGTCGCGAAACTTTAATATAAACATTCAAATGCTGGAGCTAGGCGAACTTTTATGACCAAAAAACTTCCAGTTCAAGGTCACTGCGGGTCACAACATAGTGATACGGCGGGCCGTTTATGTAATATTTCTTTTCGAATATATTCGTCTTAAATGTGAATATAAGTAAATATGAATCACTGGGAATGAACTTGGTCCATGTAGATTCCTTCGGGCTTCACAGGATTTGATCACTTGACCAACCAAGCTCATTTCCCAGTGAACTTTCTAACATTGTTGTCTATTTCTTAATTGTGTGTATCATTCACATTCATTCATTCATTCTTCCATTCAGTTATTCACTGATTCATTTAGCACTGCGCAATGCTTTACTAAAACTTATATTTGTCTTTGTACAGTGTTTGTTTTATTTACATCCACTGATGATTATTTCCTTTATTTCTTAAGAAAACCATTGTCATTTATCAGTCAGTAAACAATATGAAGCATATCACCTGTAAGATTTCCTGAGCAGTGGGTGTTCCATCAATGAAACGTACAATGATGTACATATCCGTAATACAATGTTTCATCTAATAAATCCTACTTTAAATGATTATTTGTACAGATATAAATATAAACAATAGAATGGCTTTCTTCGTTTATTAGTACGGGAATTAACATTGCAGCTATTGCAGAAAAAAAATACATAACCGCTTACGCAGAATATGCATTTTTCTGCAACAACTGCAGCAATAATTCCCAAACTAACAACCAAAGAAAGCATTTTTTGTTTATATAAACCTAAAACACCCCTATTATATTATTATAAAATATAGCATTCCAGGTAGACTGCCAAGTATGTGTAGAATGGGTCATTCCATTATTTTTTTGTTACACGGATTTCTGAGTCAGTGTAGTTGAATGTTTTTTTTAGCTGGAATTGGCGGAATGTATTTTCTTTATTTCATTAAAACATGTATCAATTTTTTTGGTTTGGAATATAACCTGCCCTTTTTCTTGTAAGTAAATTTAAGAAATAATTCAACTATTAAATAAGTACACGTACATAAATATTTTCTTTCTGAATTAGGAATCCAAGTGATTCATTTTAATCTAAACATGCCTAATTATGGTGTCCGGATAGGGCCATTTGCAAAGGCTCAACAACGCGTTCAGAAAAAAGCGCCGTCGCGCTAACACACAACACGCTGTCACGCTAACACAAGTTCGCACAACACGCTGTCGCGCTAACACACAACGCGCTGTCACCCTAACACAAGTTCGCACAACACGCCGTCGCGATTACACACAACACGCTGTCACGCTAACACAAGTTCGCACAACACGCCGTCGCGATTACACACAACACGCTGTCACGCTAACACAAGTTCGCACAACACGCCGTCGCGATAACACGCTTTCAAGCAACACGCCGTCGCGCTAACACACAACTCGCATTCGCGCTATCACAAAGTTGTGTTAGCGAGTTGTGTGACAGCGCGACAGCGTGTTGTGTAAAGTTGCGTTAGCGCGACGGCGTGTTGTGTGATAGCGTGACAGCGTGTTGTGTGTTAGCGCGACGGCGTGTTGTGCGAACTTGTGTTAGCGTGACAGCGTGTTGTGTGTCAGCGCGACGGCGTGTTTTTCTGAACGCGCTGTTGAGCTTTTGCAAATGGCCCTATCCGGACACCATACCTAATAGAGTGTGAGTGTGTGAGAGTTTGTTTATAAATTGATAAAAAATATAATGCAAAAGTTGTATTGAAAAAGGTGAAGATAACGAACAGTGATCGATCTAAAAACAAAACAAAACAAAAAAACAAAAAACAAAAAACAAAAAACAAAAAAAAAAAACCTATAAATAATACAAATCTGTGAAGAGGGTATCAAACACAGACCCTTGGAAATTACAGAGGTGGGATCAAGTGCCTGAAAGGAGTAAGCATCCCCTGTCACACCCGCCAGGAGCCCTATGTATTGAATAGTCTGACGGAGTCCGTAGACAACTTCAATATAAAAACAAAGGCCTAACAATGGGTATGAAACACCCAATGATAGATTATATTTTCTAACAAGGTCATTATAACGACCATATAATTTTTTTAAAAAGCTGATTTTAAACGAGGTTGTTGAAATCCCTGTAACATCGACGTGTCTGTAAGTAGCCTGCCTCGGTTAAAAAATTGATCGCATTAGGAGCATGCTCTTGAATATCGAATTAGTTAAGAAATGTAAACATCATATGCAGGTGATAGCGGGATACATGTATTACTACAAAAAAAGGAAAGATGACGATGGAAAACCTGAAGTCATCTTGTTTGTCAAAAAAGTAGTTAGTTGACCCTTATTGTCTATAGTCTAAAAGTTGTGTAAAATTTCAAGAGCCTTCATTTGACACCACTAAAAAGGGACTAGCCCCTTAAATTGTTGGGATCTACGGCCTCTAAAAGTTTTCGCTTCATAACTCAAAAACGGTAAAGAATTCGACATTGCTTTCGCTTGAAACTTTGTTCGTTTACATCTTATTAATCACATAAACTTGTTATTTTGTTCCAGTTTTATATGCAAAACACGTGTCCATTAAGATCAAGATCTAGTAAATGATTTTGGACTGCCTTTTTGATGCTAGATCCATTATGACGTCATAATCAAATTAAACTTTCTTTTTCCCGTACTTTACAGCTGTAAAAGAATTATGTAGAAAATAAAGTACTTTTCTGGAATTCAATTTGAAATCATGTGAAAAGTAATCCCGAAACCTATATTCAATTTAGTATTATTTTAAAGAAGAGGCTAAGAACATACAAAATACCGTTTTCTGAGAGAACGTAGGCAATCTGGATACATTTAATTTGTCTGATATGGAAAAAAACTCCCATATTCATGACTGATTTTCTTAATTTTTCATTGAAAATGAAAGTTTAAGATATGATTTTTCGTCTTGTTTACCTACACATGATGCCCCGAAACACCTTATTTGACCAAGCTATACTTATAAAGCTTCATTAAAGGAATTTATTTCTCAAATTTGAGAAATCTGTAGGCTCCTTTTATTTACTAGATTTTGACCTTAAATCGATTTTAAATTTTATATGCTTTAACTGCAAACATAACCCTTAGACTGCATATTTAGTAAAAACAATTTATTTCTAGATCATGAGTTATTGGGTGTTTTTATTCAATTTCGGAGATTCATCGCGTGTGACTAGCGATATGTGGTTGACTCTACTGTAACCAGTTAACACACAAGCTTTGTATATTCTTTACGTTGTGAAAAAGAAAATGGATTATCCATTTTGAAAAACGTAATAAATTATTTTTTAACATTTTCTTTTGTTTTCAATTACGGGTTATTATCATGATTATATAAAACTCTAGACATGCAAAAAGAATGGTCAGAAACCCACGGCAGACCTATCTCACTTCAAAATGATTCGTTATTTGATTGATGAAAAACAATGAATTGGATGAATTTTTGTGTATAATTATGTAACTCCGGCACCTGACCAAGGTGTGAACTTCAAAAGCAACAACTGCGTCGCACATTGTTCATATACCTAATTACGGCGAGAGATCGTAAAGTTTTAATATTATAATTCAAGATTTGAAAGCAGGTAATTTGATTTTTATGTATAATTTATTCAAAATTTTGATTGATTTTAAATTTTCAAATTTTATGCTATCATGATTTTGTAGTACGAATAAATATCGGTAGCAGCTTAGTTGACTATAAACCTTTAACGTATGTCCAGAACTGTAAATTTCATAAATTTATATAGTTTTTTTTAATGATTATTGGGACTCGAAAAAAAATAATAAGTGCCGAAAGAATTCAATCCACGCATGCCTCCAAAATTAATTATAATAATAAATAATTATATTAAATTAATAATACAACTTTATTTCAATGACACAAGTATCTCAAACTATAAGTTCATTATTACATTCCAAAAGTCAGAATCGGCAAGGTAGCCATACTATTTGTATCGTTTATAGTACTTATCTTCTTAACAGAAGAGATTTTTTTCTTGTAAAAAAAAAAAATGTATATATCTTTTCAAAATCACTTTTCTTGGTAAGTTTTTTTTATTTCTTGAATTGAGACATGTTCCGTAGAATTCACATATCGAGAGAGAGAGAGAGAGAGAGAGAGGTACACCCGTCAATCAAAATCACTCGATATTGTGAACTTAGACTGGCGCATCGGAAGCATTTCCAATTTGGTTTGAAATATTCTATTGGTCAATTCTGATTAAACATGTAATATTGAACATTGTTGGAAGATGGAATTTCTGTTTGGTTGTGCCAAACCGCGGGCTTCGAGATTTTAGGCCAGCGCAGAAACCCTAAGAAGTCCACATTCTCAAAGACCAGTACTGGATGTAAACCGTACAATAAATCATACAATCACTGGAACATGAGAGGTTTAGACTCGAACTTTTGTCTGAACTAAACCGATATGTATCCTCTTTCTTACCAATCTTTCCTGATCTGTAACCGTGAATGCTCAGGGATTCTGAATGTAGGATCGCCATTTTTTCGGCAGGGAGGGGGGCTACATATTTCCATGTAAGCATAAAAACAACATAAGTTTCAATGTTTAGCACTTTATAGGTCAAAAAAAGAGTGGAATTGCAACTCAACGAAAAATGTACATATCTAGTGTCACGTTAGTGTCCATTGTCCCGTAGGACACAGCAATGTCTTCCTATGATACTTACACTACAAAACATTACAGTAACTTTTTATAAGACCTTTCTATTGATATCTGACAAAAGAGACTGTCTCTTCCAGCTGAAATAACAGACAATCAATGCACAGTACCCTAATTATAGACCCAGTAAACCATGTCAGTCTATCTGTGCAATTGTGTCGGAGTTATACCTTTTAAGGAAGCTCTAAACACTGCACACTAAAGAGTTCTACTTGTAAGGTAGTTTTATGCAGTTAGAGTGATCCGCTGTAAGATAGAAAAAATAGTTATTTACAGTTTATTACACAATTTGTAATAGATTAAAATATTCTCAGCATTAAATTAGATCAAGTATAAGAAATTGAATTCATTGTTTCCAATAATTTTCCAAATGTATGTAAACAACCATGATTTCTGTTCATGAATTGTCTTTGAACATTTTTCCTTCAGAAATAAGGTAGGTACCCTATGTTGAAAATGAACTAAATAGCTTCAATATGCACACCCTTATATGACATATTTTTCTCCAAGTCCAAAAAAACACTTTTTGTTAGTGCTTAGAGCTTCCTTAAAAGAAATCTCATTTTTGGCATTAAGATTTTCTAAGGACAGAGAATGTGTTATGACTTTGATTTGGACAAGTTCAAGGACACTGTGTGTAAAGTGTAAAAATGGCTTAGAGTCTATTAGAGAAAATACAAAACCTTTTCTGGCCATATCTTGTAATAAAGGAACATTAAGATTTTATACTTGAAAAAAAAATAATGTTATTTGAAGCTGCGTTAGAACCTTGAGCTAGGGTCATTTGGACAAGTTCAAAATTTTCTATATCACGCAGCTCCAACGGAATGCCTCTCTTTGCTTTACAACGAGCTTTGCTCTAGTTTATGAATATATCAATAAATTAGGATTAGAGGTTTAGCAGTTTAGAGAACTGATTAAACTGAGTGCTGTGAGACCTCATTATTTTAAATATTCATTGAGGTATAAATATAAATGATGTATACATAATTCTGTTTTAAAGATGTGTCTATCTAGTTGCATTATATTTGCATAGTTTTGTATATGTCTATGTGTATTTATATGTTGTATTCTTGTTACTATTGTAGTGTTGAAAAAATTCAAAGTATCCCAAATACATTGGATCCTCATTCTAAATTGTCTTTTTTGTTTCTATAAACACCCCAAAAACCAGTTTTAAAAATGACACCCAACATGGTTAGACGGCCGAATAGTCAAATACTACATACCGGCTAACAATATTGAGTTCAATTAAAAAAAACACTGAGAGACGTTTGTCTGTGATCATTATCATCCATCGCAGTGTTTATTTATTTTCCCAGATTTTATAAACTCACTGTATAGATTTATTCTTGATATTACAAATTGTGTGAAATTCCAGTTCAAAATTTTCAAACGTTGAAAAAGAGTTTCCGTTTCCGTGTCGTGTTTTTCATAACTGCGATAATACGTGTCGGTTTTTTTACCCGCGTGTCGGTTTTTTTTACCCGCGTGTCGGTTTTTTACACTGTAGTGCTAGCTTATTTATAAGCTCTTAGTCTTACTTAGTCTTAATTAGTTACTAGTACTTAATTAGTCTTCAAGACTTATTGGAATTTCAACTTAAAATTGTGCTGAGTACAACATACAAGTTAGCTATGAATACAGCAGGGAAAGCGAGGAGGAAAAGAGGAAAGTACTACGATTTGAGGGCGATAGAGTTATAGTGAAGGTTGTAGCATTTCTGTGGAAAGCTCAAGATAGCAGACGGGTAGAGGAGCTCTATTTGATTTAAGATCAGCCGAATCCTGACATCCCAGCAGGCCCGTAGGAAGCAATTTCAGTTTGGGGGAGGGGGCGGCACAGCCATACATTTTCATTTGAAAGTTGAGGGGGCACTACCAAAAATTTCCTCACAAGCAAAAAAAAAGTTCATAAGACGTTTTTATTGAAGGGGCACAAGCATATAGTATCTTATTTACTATAATAGTAATCTATATAACGACATCCCGGTTCCTACGGCCATGCCCAGTTTTTGTTGTAAAAAGGGAAGATGGCATTGGAAGGAAAAAAGATCCTCCATCGGAATCTATTTCTTTCGAATGAATGCATTGATCCTGTAGAGCAACAAAATATGATCAACAGACAAAAACCCAGGGAAAAAAGCCACAGAACACACCAAAAATAGTATGCAGATATGTCCAAAGATGTAGAAGAAAGTTCTGGTGATTCTGAAGTTGACATTTGTTTTACTTTTCGGTACCACCAGGTAGAAAAACTCCAGCCAATGAACCACATGTTATCGAAACAGAAGGAACTGAGGGACCAGCGAACCAGAGGTCTGGTAATCCAGTAAATCCCTGAACCCCAAGTAGATGAGGGTAATGGCTCTGAACCCAATAAAAATGAAAATAATACAGTACATGTATTAAAAAGATAAACAAGAGTAAAGGAGACCCCTAAAACGGCTAAACGATTATCAGGTATTTCATGTAAATACTGATGACAGGAGTAAGAACAAAGTTGACATTCTCAGACAAATGCCTGATGTTACCGAGGTTCCAGAGAAAAATTTTTTTAAAGGCTCTAATGGACCTGCTTTCCAAAATTTAGTACAACTATGTTTTTTGACTTAAGGTATTCAATGTATAATGACCATTTTTTGTACCTAACAAATGAATGGTCCGATATTTTAATCATGGTAGCATTTTGAAGGTGTTATGAAACAAAAATACGTCACCAAAGGAATTTACCAAATTTTTATTATTATTCAATTAATTGTATCTTGAAGTTAATATTGACGTCTACGGGCAGCGCATGTGTTACTAAGATGTTGTAAAAAAGTAATTTGAATTTCATACTCTTTATTACAATATGAAATAAAATGAATCATTCACCATCGATATCTTGAAAAAAATAAAATTTCCTTTTTTTCATCGAGGGCAGATAATTCTTCAAAAACTTTTCAACTGCTAAATGACAGGCTTCTTACTTGTTATCTGTAGTGTGTGAATTTGGTTCATTTCACTTTCATCTTTATATATCAATGCATTTTTAACTAGTTTAAGATGATTCAAAATTGTTCAAAATCCCTTCATTATACATTGAATACCTTAACTGCTGTAGTTTTTAATGTCATTTAATCAAATGACGGGGAATTCATTCCTCAAGTGGGGGGGTGGGGGGGGGGGGGTGGAGTAAGTGCACATGGTAGTGGTACTTTTTATTCTTTAGGATATTTATTTTAATTGAATTGTATTCCAAATATTTTTCCTTAATATTCTTTGCAAATTAGAAGACTGTTCATTTTCTCATGAACTACCATGGATGAGTATGAATATCTCCATTGTTACGTCATAATACCGCACTTGACGTCAAAAGAATAGTGCAAACTATTTTGCTTTAAAAATGACAGTTGAATGGCGTAATTTGTGGCAACTCATCAGAAAAATAATGTAAATATAAGAAATGATTTTTTTTTTTTTTTGAAAATTCATGTGGTACATGAACTACAACGCTTCACGCCGGCATATTTATCATGAAGCGCTAACGCGCTTCATGTAATATGCCGGCGTGAAGCGTCGTAGTTCAAGTCCTCATGAATCTTCAAAAATTAAATTCATTTCTTATATATATATATATATATATATTTCTCAATCTTAAATTTATTCATTCTTCCACTCAGATGTTCACTCATTCATTTAGCGCTGTGCAGTGTCGTATTTACACTTTTTTTTTCATTGTTCGGTGTTTGTTATAAACCTTAACACCTCTATTTTGTAAAATGAGCATTCCAGGTAGACTTGCCGGATATGTGTATAGAAAGGGTCATTTCATTATTATTTTTTTTGTTACACGGATTTCTATTGGTCAGTGTGGTTGTATGGTTTTAGCTGGCATTAGCCGGAAGTATTTTCATAATTTCAATACTATGAGAACTGATTTTTAAAAGGATGTAAGGCTAAAGACATGTAGTCATTTCTTTGCTTTGGAAGATAACCTGTCCCTATTTCTGTAAGTAAATTCAATAACTAAACTATTTAATAAGTACATAAATAATGTCTTAATAAATGGGGAATCTAAATAATTCATTTAAATCTAAACTTGCTAAATAAATTGTAAGTGTGTGAAAGTTTTGTATATGAATTGATAATAAATTTAAATGCAAAAGTTATAATGGAAAGTTAATATTTTTATTTATTCATGCATCCTAAAGAAGGGATTTGTAAATTTGTTATACTTTTACATAATTGTTAATTAGGTCATATTCATTCTGGAGCTGAAAAGTTGTTCATAGATAGGAATTATGACCTGGTTCCATAAACTGGTATGTGATGATATTAGATAGTACAAATGTGTCTTTATCAGATTGATTAATAAAAATATAATTTATGAAATATTTTTATAATTAGGAGGTAGAAGTGTAACGGTTTTAAGAGCTAATTAAATGAATGATGTACGATCTAATTATTTTAAATATTAATTGAGGTGTAAATCTAAATGACCTATAGATAATCTTGTGGTATAGATGCGTTTATCTGATTGTAATGTCTTTGTGTTGCTTTGTGTATGTCTCTATGTGTTTATATGTTGTAGGGTTGAAAATATTCCAAATATCCCAAATACATTGGATCCTCACCCAAAATTAAACCGTCTTTTTGTTTTTATAAACACCCAAGAGCTGGTTACAGTACCACAATGAAACAAGTCAATGCCACAGATGCTGATGCACAGGTAAATTTACCTGCTTGAGTACTGGTTGTATTCTAAGATATTTTTCTGTTCATTGTTTCAACAAAATTTTATTTTTCCAGAGTCCCCACAATATTGTGACATACTCAATCATTGGTGATGCTACAGCACAAACTTTGTTCAGCATTAATGCTGCCAGTGGTTTCATCACCTTTGCTAGAGTCTCCTGATTAACAATAAGGAAACATCTTCAGTAAGATTTTTTTCCTAAAATGAAAAGTTAACAAACCTACCATTTAAAAATGTTATTTTTGTCGGTTATTATAAGAATGAGATTATGTAATCTTGAATAGATTGATTAATTGATCGTATGTTGTTCTACGTCCCGTTCGATAATTTTTCACTCATATAGACACTCACCTTACACCGGTGAAGGGCTTCAAATTTAGACCTTTACTCGGCACTCAGGACCATTGAGCAAAAAGTATATAGTAAAAGTACAACAAATTTAACGTTATAATTTTCAACTAGAAAGTGTCTCTTATTGTGACGTTTTTGACGTCATCACTGTGAATTTGACGTCGTATGTATCACGGTTGTTCTTCATTGTTTGTCAACGGACAAGATACAATTTTTATTACTTAAAACAAGTAAATGCTTAAAATAAATACTTAATTAATAACTTAAAACTTGAATAGATCAAAACTTAATATTAAATGTTTTTGATAGGACATATACAGTGTATAACCCCTGTGGCAGCCAGTGGGTAGAGCCCATATATGACCCCTCTGGCAGTAAAAGGCCAGAGACTGGGGCACTCCCAGTCTATCTGCCACATCTACAGTAATTGTCACCATTGCCGGAAATCTTAACAATCCAGAGTGGATCAGCACTTCTTATACTGTCAACATTACAGAGACTCCAGATCTGGGAGTCATTATTGCTAACATGAACACAAGGGAGGTTTGAATGTTTGTTTGTTTGTTTGTTTTTTTAATAAGTTTTGAATGAATTAATTTTCATTTGTTTAATTTATCTTTTATTTATTGCCGTAAAATATACACTGCTAATTAGTAAAAGGACAAACAAAGTCCTTGTGCTATTTGTAGTAGAATTGTCAATTTTCTTTTTTAAGATCACTTTACTTGACCTAAGTTACTCAGGTGACCCAATGAGCTCTGCTCTAGCTTCTTATTGTCGTCGATGTGTGCATTATTAGTAAATTCTTGAATATTTTTCACTTCTTTGAAATAGCGAGACCAGTTCGATCAACACTGAATATAGTATCAATCAATTAAGGGAACACAATTTATGAATTTCACGGTTATAGTTCCATGGGATGGTCAAATTTTCAAGACCCGGGGATTGGGAGCTACTTTGGAACTACAATACCTCTTTGAAAGTATTCTTTATTTCTCATGGATGTCCGGAAGGAAAACTGTATATTTATAATTACATGTAACAAAGCCCTCTACTAAATTTATTAAAATTCATGTCCTCCATATTCATGATTTAAGTCTCAGGGTGGGGTTATGTTGGTAATGAAAACCTCGAAGTATTCCCTGTAAACACTCACAAAGTCTGTATACTTGTGACAGTAAAACCGCTTAACTTTCCACTGTACATTTTTAACATAAAAGCTATGATTGATTTAAGTACCTGGATTACTGGACTTTCCGAGATAAAGAAAATACATGTACTAACACCGTATAACACTTTTTTCTGAGCTCTGACCTCTCTACTCGATAAAAGTATGACATCCTCCTCTCTGAAGAACATAAAAACATTTTTCTCTGGAGCATATAATAATACACCCATTGCTTGTCACGAATTAATAGTTTACCATTTTTTACTTTGTCAACATGTTTAAAATTTTGAATATATTTTTTTTCCATTCTGTTTTCTTTTAGGCATCCTTAAGTCGATTAGGAACACATCTAGCAGCAGTTTTCATCAGATTCATTTCCTTTTGCGGATTTCTATGAACTGTTCCTGATTAAATTTGAAGTGTCTTAGCTACCAATGCTTTCACTTTTAATTTGTCTTTTCAGATATCATGGTGCTTACGCCATCAATATTTTTGCATGTTTTGTGTCGATACAGATTTCAATCGACTGCCATCTGTAATCTCCTTTTCCACCTTTGAATTTCCATCTTTCTGGACACAGTACTACGTGAAAAACAGTCTTTCCATCCACTCATATTAAAACTTTATCTTCAAATTACATGCAGTTTTTGCAATGAGAGGCAGTTTTTCACATACACCCTCATTTTTCATCTGCTTGGCAAGCAGATGTGGATACTTAAAAATGCCAAGGAACTTTTCAACATTATACATAACCATTCCCCACGATAAAGTAAAGTCCAGGCTTTTTGATACCATTGACAGCTGTTTTTTCAATAAAAATGGAACTAGTAAATTTACTTGCCTTGTCATTGGTCATTTGCAAAATTATTTTATTAAAAAACATTCCGATTGTACACACAAGTCCTCTGAACTTGACATTAAATAGATGCTTGAGTTTCTGATTGACAATATCTTTGTGGTTTTTGGAGACCATGTCTTCCAACAATCTATTAGGATTCCATGGGTACCAATTGCGCCCCTTTATTAGCAGACCTTTTTTGTATTCATATAAAGCAGAATTTGTCCAAAATCTTATACGTGAAAA